CGTTTTTAGGGAAGGAAAAATAAAGTGACATCATTTCCGATACCTGCAATTGTTTTCGCAAAATACAATTGAATTTGAAAAAGTTAGACAATTTGATTTGCTATATTAAAATAGTTGTCAGTGAATCTTTTACTGAATATATGATATAGTTAGCCTGAAATCTGAAGGCAAAATCATACATTTTAATATAACATTTGTTTAATGAAATCCAAATCAAGAGTTAACATAAATTAACATAAATCCCAACATATCTTTATGTAACATATTTTCTAAAATGAGATATTTTAGGGAGAAATCCTCATTCCTAATTCATTGAGACTTCAGAGTTCAATATGTCAAATTCTGAAACATGCGATTTCCACACTTCAATACTGAGGTAAGATGTAATGTGATGATTTGAAAAGATAACAAATCAAAAAAATTTTATTTGGTATTTCATTTTATAATATAAGAGGAGTGTTCATAATGACCTTATAAACTTACAGTTAGTTACTGAATAGTGGGATTTTTAACCTTTAGCATGCTGCCGGCGAGTGTATCCGCCCATGCTTTACTATCCTGAGTGACTGCCAGCGGATCCATCCACCCGAGTTTAAACTTTAAAAAACTTAACACTTTTGCACTATTCTTATGATCCAATTAGATTTCCAGATTTATTCAGTGCCTTACATGACTTCCTGTTGATCTAGAAATGGCAATCTTTCGAAAAATATTTCTCAATTCAACAATTTAAACAGTGTTTTAGTTGTTCTAAGTGAACAAATCATACAAAATGACGGCCAAATACAATCACACGAAAAATGTAGAGGAAATGGATTGCGATTTCGAGCTCTTTAGGCTCTTGGAAGCCGATTATGGTCATCGAAAACATAAACTAGAATATTTTCTGAACTGAAAATTTGAACATTCAATCGCTGCAAATTCAGTTTTGGATTCTGACCAGACGTTGAATCTTCCCGGGGGCGAAGCGGCAGATTCCGGAGGAGTATTCATGGTATATTTATGCCCAGTCGTGTTTATGTACGAAAAAATTCATGAGAACATTTTTTTCATGAGCCAGGCCAGTGTATCTTCCCTTTGTGAAAATTTTATCCAGATTCATTCAGTAGTTATTGAGATATCAATTATTTAGTCCAGGGAAATCATTTTTTGCACTCTTTGAAAAATAAGTCAGTCGCGTGGGATATATTTGCTGAAATAAGGCAGCATGCTAAAGGTTAAAAGCAAATATTTTTCGAAGAATGTTAATTTATTCAATCATGGCATATAAAAGTCTTTATGGCTACACAAATACTCTCAATTGGTATTCAAGATATCCATTGTGCTCCGTAGAGGCGCAGACTCTGAAATTACACCTTTTTAAAATTCCAATGCCTTGCAACAAAGAATACATAGTGCTCAAAATACATATTTGTTCTTTCTTTGAATTGAAAATTAAAGATAATCTGTACTTAAAGGCAGAATCATATCTATGGGGCTGACAAATTTCTAAGTAACATGAACAATTTTACAGGGTGACCCCAGAAACGTCACCTCCTTAGTTTGGGAATAACTATCTCAATTTTGAAGGAATTTCTATGATTTTTTTGTAGATGGAGAGTTCAATACATGGAACATTAGAATTACCTAATAAGCAGTCAGTTCATCAAATTTGACAAGATTATTGATAAAAGGGTAGATTTTACATACTATTTATAATATGTATGAAAAAAATCCAGACAATTTCAGAAAATTGCATTTTTACATTTTTTGACAATTTCATTCTCAAAAATAAAAGAAATCGAAGTGATGGATAATAAATACTATACCCATTCTATTAAATGCTTGTGTTTATAATTGATACATACATGTTTGCTTTATATAATAACTCATTTCAAAAGGTTTCAAAATTATTTAATAATTAATTGCTCCAGGCAAGAATTTTTTATCAGTATTACTACAGTTGGTTTATTTCACCGGAGATGAAGCAGCATTTAAGTTAGAAAATAAATTGTGCGAGATTCTTGATATTTCTTTGCATAATGTCATGATGATCAGGGGTCTTCCAAAAATTAGACATTCCTACCCCGCGCCTAAGGTTGCCAAACTTTTGGAGAGAAGTGTAACTTTATTATGGTCATATAAATTGAATAAATATTCTGGTTATTGCAATGAATTTTTCAGCAAATATTTTTGGGGAACCCTGACCGGGGATTCGTTCGAACCCATCAAACCCCCGGTCCCTACAGCTATGCTCGCCACAGGTTGCCATGTATTCTGACCCTACCAACACACATGCTACCATCTACTTATCCATCTATATAGAAAATAGTGTATCGATCATTATTGCATCACATTAAGAGTATACACATTCCGGTTTAAAAAAACTGATCACACACGCCTAACCATCGCGATAAATGGCGTCACCGTACAGCGTCAAAAATACAGTAGTACAGTTTTCTGTACGGTGACGAAATTAACTGATTTGAAGAAAAAAATATGATGAGGGTTTTAAAAAAAATTATTTGATGAAAACAGTTATGATTTCGTATTTGATAAAAACAGTATTCTCTTAGAAATTGTTTTAACTTTCCAATTACGATAACAGCTTTTCGAGTCCTGCCCGGAATCTTTCTGAGTGAATCGGCCCACATAACGGACCCAAGAGAAAAAATGTTGTTTTTTCACATTTTGTTTGGTTATTATTTTCCCTGGCGTCTGATAGTATTGGTTATTTTTATGAGAATATGTAATTGTTAACTACATATTTTAGGCTTGTTGAAGATTTAACAAATAATCATACATTGTGTTTATAAAAATAAAATCAGATCTGTACGGTGACGCGTCAACTGTACGGTGACGATTCCTTAGATTTTATGAAGTGCTCTAAACTTACTGTTCAAACAAGAGGTAAAGAAGCGTCAGATCTACATGTACATTATCACTGGTAAGTATCAAGCGAAGGTTACAACCGTCACCTTCGCATTTAAGATGGCGGACAGGAAGTATTAATTTCGATATTTTTAGTTTTCATGGAATTAACTATTTGAAAGTTGACGTAATGCTTTGGTATCATTTGAACTAAACCAGGCTTTTCTCATATGACTAACAAAGATAGCCTACACATCCATCTTTACCCCATGCAAGATATTGCATCTTTCATCCCAAAAAGTCACACGTGCAAGATGAGATTTACTTGTGACATTCCTTGTTTTAAAACATCAATAACATAGCAACAGGAGAGTTTTTGGTTTCATGATCTTTACCGTATCATACATTTCCAGTAACCTTCCATTAAGCGATGGAAGATATCATTGAACTGTAGCGCCCATACACTATATATGAACAAATGATTATACTCCAGAGTTTCCATTTCATACAATCTTAGTCTCATTTAGTTCATCAAAGCATAGCGTCACCGTACAGCTGGTGCGTCACCGTACAAATTTGATCTTTTTTAAATATACATAATGAATGGTTGTTTGCTGAATCTTCGCCCGTTCTAAAATGTGTATTTAACAAATACATATTCTCATAAAAATAATCAATACTCTCAGACGGCAGGGAAAATAATAACCAAACGAAATGTGAAAAAACAACCTTTTTTCACTTAGGTCGATTATGTGGGCCGATTCACTCAGAAAAAATCCGAACAGTGCTCGTAAAACGTTTATCATAATCAGAAAGTTAAAACCATTTCTAAGAGAATGCTGTTTTAATTTCACATGAAATCGTATTAGTTTTCATCAAATTAATTTTTTTAAACCCTTGTCATAGTTTTTGCTTCGAAGCAGTTAATTTGCGTTACCGTACAGAAAACTGTACTCCGCTATTTTTTGACGCTGTACGGTGACGCCTGCTTACGCGATGGTAAGGCGTGTCACAATTAAAACTCAAATGAGAGATATATAGATTGATGAGCAAATGACATAAATCCAACCATGCTCATGCATCATTTATTTGCCATTACACTGTATTTGTCCATATACCGGGTGGGCATAAAAAATGGGCCGTACTTCAACACCTGATATTTCCATAACCCTCTTACCTCTACTTCTAAAAATGTGCACATGTGAAACTAATTATCTCCCTAATATAAAAATATTACTGGTAATAAGATCAAAATCAAAAACATGATTCAAAAACGCATGTTCCTGATAATTTCAATATGACGTCAAACTTTGTTACACTTATAACATTGATCAATTGGTTCTCCATCTTCTCTGGTGGTGAACACATGTTTTTTTCATGAGACGATTGAGTTACAAATGTACTTTAGTATATTGTTCAATTTTCAAGGTAATAGTTTGATACTGAGCTTTAATTAAAGCAAATAACCTTTCGCCACCAGAAGTTGAATGACTAAGGTCTTTGCTGAAGGCAATAGTCATCGAACAAACCCTATAATTTCATTTTTAGATTAGGGAGATAAGTGGTTTCACATGTTCAAATTTTTAGAAGTAAAGGTAAATAGAGGGTTATTGAGGGTTACGGAGATATCAGGTGCCGAAGTAGAGCCCACTTGTTATGCCCACTTATTATGCCCACCCAGTATAAATGTAGTTTGAATCCACCATTTTGTGAATTTCCACTTCAACAAATATTCTAGACTGATAAGACTTAAATATTGAAAAGATCTATGGCTTCTCTATATCCCAATCTAGTTTCTGAATACACATCGATGAGATGTTTTCATCGATGTAAACATATTCCTTACATCTTCTTTTACCTTGATGTAAATTAATAAGCTATGATATTGGTGAACACACCAGAAATTAACATCATATTAATTGAAGCACTTGACAAAATTTTCAATCCACCATTTTGTTTTCCTCAGCTCTTATGTCATTTGACCAATCAGCGACAATGGTCATCTCTATGTAAATTTCCATTTAAGTTATGGTCATCTCTGAACCCTGGGGTATTTCCCCTCTTACATCTTCTCTTATGAACAACATTAACGCCATCTTTAGATGCATATTGGAAACATTCAAACAGAAATAGTACAAGTACTAACATACCTTCGCTAAATATGCTTGGATTTCTTGGAAGTCTGCAATACTGAAAGTGCCTCTATCATGGATAGGTATCTTTTCTAAAGCTTCTAAATTGGCCTTATTGAGGTGCTTTGGTGAATCTCTAAAAAGTGAAAATAAAACAAGTTTCAAGTTTCAATATTTGCTATGTGTGTTGCAGTCCAAAACATTTTTCTTTGACCATCGACTGCATTTTATCGTTCTGACTAAACCTCTATGATCTCAAAAGGGGAGTATGAACTTAACATGAATTATTAATCCACATTCTAATGGGGGCTTTCATTGAATATAGACTAGCTCAAAAAAATTATTCATTATTTAAAGAGGGCAGATGAGTCCAGCTCTTGCAAAGAGGCTCTCACTGAGAGTTACCTTAATTGGTGCCTGGCAATTCCTACCTACAACATTCAAACACTTACAGTAAATGTTTATCCTGTAGTCTTTTCTTTCCATTAGATATAACTATTGCCACCATCTCCCATGCTTTCTGAGAGTCCACTGTTGTCTCACCCTCTTGGCACCCAAGTACTGTACGACAATGTTGGAATATCTCTTCCCATTTACGATCTGCTGAGACACTCAATGTTCCAAATGTTCTGGAAATAACACACAATGATCCAAATGTTCTGGAAATAACACACAATGTTCCAAATGTTCTGGAAATAACACATAAATGTTCCAAATGTTCTGGAAATAATGCAAAAATTTTCCAAACGTTCTAGAAATAACACACAATGTTCCAAATGTTCTGGAAATAACACATAAATGTTCTGGAAATAACAAATGGTCTGAATGCTTTGGAAATAATGCATAAATGTTCTGGAAATAACATATAAATGTTCCTAATGTTCTGGAAATCACAAATAAAGGACGATTCTCGGTTTGGAGAACGAAGTTCATCAATCTAAATGAGCATTATCCCTGCTTCGGACAAATTTGATTTTTTTACATAATATAGATTTGAATGTCTTCTTTTGAATACTCATAATTTAATTTGGGTAATATTTCTAGATTTTTCGCAAAAAAATATTAGCGCAGTACACTGATGAACTTCTTTCCCCAAATCGAGACTTGTATTTTATTAAATCGGTCTAATTGAGCGTTATCCCTGCTTCAGACCAATTTGTTATTTTTACATCTTGTAGATTTAAATGTCCTCTTTTGAATATTCATAGTTTAATTTGGGTAATATTTCTATATTTTTCATGAAAAATATTATTAGCTCAGGAGACTGTTCTCCAAACCGAGAATCGTCCTTTCCCAAATTTTTCGGATATAACACATAAATGTTCCAAATGATCTGGAAATAACACGTAATGTTCCAAATGTTCTGGCAATAACATATAAATTAACCAACGTTTCCGGAAATAACACATAAACAAGGCATTAACATGACAAAATGTCACCATCTAGTTGCTCACAATAAATATTATGAGTTCAATCTTAAGTCAGATTTGAATATCTGAGAACTTGTAGATGATTTTGAAAAATAAATTGGTCAATTTGAAGCAAGATGAAAATATGCATAAAATGAATGTGGATATGACTCAATCCGAATAGCATTTTTAATTTGTGCGGCCAATGTTGACGGACGGACCAACGGACGGACGGACAGATGGACCAACGGACGGACGCCTGGTCGATCCCATAGGCTCACTGTGTGAGCCAAAAAGACCTTTTTGACCTTGAGAACGTCACTGATGGCAAATCTTTTTGACCTTGAGAATATCATTGAAGGTCAAATCCATAGTCAGATTTGAACTTTTGAGAACTTAGATGACTTTGAAAAAAAATTGGTCAATTTGAGCAAGTTGAAAAAATACCTTTTTGAACTTTTTTGACCTTGAGAAGGTCATTGAAGGTCACATTTCAAATCTAAAGTCAGATTTGAACTTCTGATAACTTGTAGATGATTTTGAAAAAATGGTTAATTTGAAAAAAAAACTTTTTGACCTTTTTAACCTTTTTTTAAATTGAAAAGGTCAAATCTTAAATATAATGTCAGATTTGAACTTCTAAAAACTTGTAGATGATTTTTTTTAAAAATGAAGTCAATCTAAACAGTATTTGTTAAGTTATTGGAAGTTGTAAGAATTTGTTTCAGACGCTGATCGCCAACCGCCGTCAAAAAAAAAATGGAGACCACAACAATATGTCACCACTTTTTGGTGGTGACATGATTAACCAAATGTTCTAGAAATAACACACATTATTATATCATTGCTAGAATCTCAATATCAAGCTTGGTTATAGAAAGATAAACACGCAGCCTTTAAAATTCAAACAACTAGAACTTAGTGAAAATCTCAATTAGCAATGAATTAGTCTAATAATATCAGAGGTATCCTATGCAGTATGCACATACTTCGGTAGAATTCCTAAAGCATGGTTGAAAGTCATCTTCTCATTGACTGGTCCTACAGATTTCTGGAATGTTCCGCTAATTTTGATTCCTGAGCTCCAACTACCACTGAAATGTCCTTCTATTGTGTCCCCATTCGGAAGTGTCATTTTTCCCTAAAAGCAATTAGAATGCAGAATGTAATACATATTATGTATTTGATGGTCCCTACAATACATGATAGGGTTCAACATTTTGAAATTTTACATTGTACAAGTTTTTGACCTTCTTCAATGAACATATAATATTTCGGGCAAATATTGTGTTAGGTACTATGCTAAATGGGTTGAGTTTATGAACATACAATCTAATGGATATATATGAGTACTGTGCTAAATGTACCTTGCCATAAAGCTGGAAACCTCCTGAGAAATCACCTTCGTAGCATGTATTGTCCTCAGTCATTACCAAACCTGTCCCCTAAAATAGATATGCATAGACTGAAAACTTTTAATATCAAATATATTTAATTGTGAATCAAGATTACGCTTTTCTAAAGTCAAGTTAATAATGCCCCCATTCTTGTTATACATGTATATTTAAGCCTTTTAGTGTAATGTGGAACACATCTCAAAGTGGAACACTTTTTAGAGTCCTCTGAATGTGGAACACTGCTCAAGTGGAACACCTTTAAGATACCAAAATGTGTTGCATTATTTTACAGTAAAGGAATTCCATCTGATAAAATACAGCATGTGTGAGAAGTGTTATAAATGTACAAGGCATAAACGCCAAACACCAACCCCCGAAAAAAGTTGGAGACTATAACATGTTACCAATTCTGGTGATGGAATAACAAGGTGTTATGTCGAGGAATGTCATTAATAATTGAAGAATACTTACACTCATTTTATTTGTTGCAAAGTTGCCTTCATAGTACATCCCATCAAGTGTGACCATAACACCATTACCATGGCGATTGTCATCCACCCACATCCCAATGAACTTCTCTCCTAAATCAAGATACCAAAGCTAACAGTGACATCGTTACAGTATGTCAAGTATAGCCTTTTAAAAGTTATTAAAGTGTCTGCGAGAAAATTGAGGATCTTCAGTTGAGGTTTCATGATAGGAATCTTACATGTTCTGAAAATGATTTTGAAAATAAAGTTTTATGTCCTTTATAATTGGTTTGAAATAGTCCAAAAAAATTCATGTAAAATTATGTTAAGTGTTTTCAACTTTATGTGTAAGGTTCATGAGTTTAAACATAAAAGGCAGTAACATACTGAAGCTGTAAGTCATACTAATAGATTCTCTTCCTTAAAGAACAATTAATACACACCTTTCAGTATGTCATCCAGTACCCCATAGCCATTTCTCTTGTCATTGGCCCACTCTCCAACAAATACACTGGCAAGTGATGATGTCATACGTCCCTGTTTAAATACACCGTGACCATGACGCACACCATCTTTGAAATAGCCCTCGTAGACATCTCCATTGGCATACCTGAGAAAATAAAAACAAAAGTTGCGATGATCCATGGCATACCTAGAATATATTACCAATTGAAATCAATAGAAAAGATCAGAACAATACAACCCATATCTACCTGTATATGCTCATATATGTGTGAGTAATGTCATGACACAATCAACAAAATGGTGTCATTTATAATTCTGTCCAATTCATGTGCTTGATCATCTACTGGAATGCTAAAAGTGTGATTCATGAATTCAAAGTTCTCTTTTATATCAAAACACTATCGTATAAGACAATTGAAATGAGGTTGAGGAAACTAATGGAAAATGGCCAACAGTGACCTATGGAGAGATTTTACCAGTTTAGAAAGTTATATTGCAAAGTTTTGAGTTCCCATCAAGATAAGGAAGCTAGAATACTTTAAATTCCTTAAAAAAATTAATGATACCAAATGAATGATTCATTGAAATAAAATAGGAAATATGAATGCTTTGCAATACTATATGCTTCATACTTAATAGATCCAAGCCCATGCATCTTGCCGTCTCTCCAGTTGCCCTCATATACCTCAACACCATCAGCTTTCTGAACTTGGTATTGCCCATGGCTGGAAATACATGTAACTATTCAATAGTGGTAAAATTTCTTGTGATCTGATTAGACCATGTTATATAAATACGGTAAATCTTGTGTATATTGAACATTTTTTGCCAAGAAAAAGTGTTCAGCATTGGTAGGTGTTCACTACAGAGAGGGTAATTTATACAGAGGTATGTAAAGTATCTGTAGAGGAACAGTGTTCAATACAAAGGTGTTCTCTAAGACAGCTCATATTGTAAATACCAAATGCTTGGATGTCCGAGTCAAAAAAAATTATGCAATGACAGAATGGCACAGAATGCCCTCCAATCATTGAGGATTAATATATAAATCATATTTATGCCAAATAGCAATAAATTCATGAATAATCTATCTTAATTATGTACTTATACCCCCAAACCGATTACTGTTTTGAAATTGTTACTTTACACAGCATGGATAAAGTGAACAGAGGTGATTGTACTCATACACCAATTGACACACTCTAGTGGTTCATGATTCATGGATTATGATTTCAACATAAGTATGACTAAATGCATGCTATATTTATATGTAAAGCAAGTAAACATCAGATGTTTATGGGTTTAACTCAGGCAGTTTCTATGTATAAAGTATAGACATTACTCATGATGAAATTTTTTCGTGACTTTAAAATTACACAACAATTTGGAGCAAACAGCAATAATTGGTGAAGTAATTTAGTCTGATCATAACCATAACATGTTGACAATGGGATATTTATACAGAGTGGTATTTTTAATGACAGTGGTCTCTCTGAGATACATATATGTAGATGGCCTGTTATGTCCAGTTGGATATAGACTGGTGAAAGATGCTCTAGTTGACAGTGTTGTCTCTAAGAACTTAACATGGACAGAGGCTGTAATGGCATGTACCAAAAGGAATGGAACAATCATTGATATAAGAGACAATCAATCTAAAAAGATCGTTTTCAATGTTATGGAGAGATTCAAACTGGGTAGTGCCTGGATTGGACATTCTGGTGATATTGTAGAAGCAACAAATCCATCAGAAATAAGAAAACCATATTTTATCATGGAGTATATTGATGATGAACAATTTGAAGCTTCTTCATATTACTTCTACAATTTGTACCTCCCAGAATTAGCGAGATTTAACAGTGAAAGCGCTTGGGTACCTCAATATGATAGGCAAGATCAATGGATTCAGGTAGATCTGGAAGCCACAATGTGTATATATGGTATTGTTACACAAGGTAGAAAAAATCCAAGTTGGAGGACGACGGCTTACAAACTGCTTTACAGAAAAGATGGTGACAACTTCCACACACTTCAGGATAATGGAGAAGAAGAATTTCCTGGTAATAGGAACGCTGTAACACCAGTTGCAAGAAACTTTACAAAACCATTTGATGCACAGTTTATACGTATATATCCACAAGATTGGATAATCCATCCTGCAATACGATTCGACCTCCTGGTGTCAAAAGAGACCTGCCCAATTGACTTTACATGTGGAAAATGTCCAGCTTTAGTGAATACATCTCAAAGGGACTTAGCAATCCAGTATGAGTCATGTTGCTCCAAGTTACCATATATCTGTCAGACAGAGTCGTGTGAATTGACAACTGAATCCCAATCATCTTTGACTGATTCAGCTATTTTGAATGCCTCAACAAACCCCCATAAAGGAACACCCCCTTCCTCAAGTTCCACTGTAGGACTTGCAATAGGAATGGTTCTCTTTATGATTATCTCAGTTATCTTACTGATTTTACTTGTCTTTTTATATCGTCATCTTAACAATCTTAGAACCACCACTGATGCAGAAAAGACTGATCATAATGAAAATAACAAGAAGGAAATACAACAAAGTGACACTATGGTCACGCCAAACTTACATGATAAGACTGAACTGAACATAAATAACATTGAATATTTTGCTATTGACACTAAAGATAATGTTGAACAAGATACAACGGTATATGAGGCTATAAACACTGACTTGGACCATACTGAAAATGGCGAATATGAATACATTGAAGAAAAGAAAGATGATGGAAACGAAATCTTGGGTAATAATATGGAGACTCCATATATCACTCTGACTGATGAGGGTGTATACAGTGAAGAGAAGAAAGTGGTTGAGAATGAAGTGCAGGAGAATGGGGCTAAAGAGCCTACATTGCATGACTCTCCAGAAGCTGTGGATGCATATGATGATGAGAAAGTAGATGACAGTGAAATCCCAGATGGAACTGATATGCTCAACAACGAGATTTATTCAGATAATTAGGGACGTTTAACAAACTTTTACTTTTATGCAAAATCAGTACATTGGGATATGTCCATATAAATAGCCAAAATATACATTTAAGGATGGAAGATTTATAACATAAAATACTGTAATCTAAAATATCGAATTGCTCATACTTTAACTCGCAGGTTATTAACTCCCAACTTATTTTAAGCTGTGTTTAAATATCGAATATTTTATAGGGATTATAGTGCTTATCCCAAAACAATTTCAGTATAAATCAAAATACTACACCTGTATTAGGTATGTATATAAAGAAATACTAAGCATCTAAAAATCAAACTGAAAGTAAAATTAAAGGCAAAGCTAGGTGTGAAGTTATGGCAATATATTATAAGAGATAATAAGACACTTATGATGTGTTTTTATGTCAACAGCACTAGTAGTGACACACTGTTCTAGTCTCCCACATTTTGTGGATGGTGCTTCGAGCTTAGCAGTTGGTGTTCGGCATTCAGGTCTGTAACAAATGGCAGGTGGTGACATTTTCATGTTTTTTATAATACGCAAGGATTATTTTGTTTAGTGTCACCCTCCCTCATATGATTCATAATTCAAAGGTTTTTTCAGTTCAATAAAATCACTTGAATGTTTGCCATATTTTTAATCACATAAAGGATGAAGTTTGTTTTTACGAGCAGACAAGGTTTTTTCCTTACAAACTGGGAATTTTTATACCCAATTTCCTGTTTATAATCATACAAAAACATTTAAGGCCCGGTCACACCGCCTAAACGTTGCTGGAGCGTTCCTTGAACGTTGAAAAAAATCATCAACGCTCGTAAACGTTCACAACCGTTTAACAAAAGTTGGCATCCGTTAAAGCAACGCTGTCAACGCTCGGCCAACGCGGATGTTTCTCGAGTGGCCATCCTAACGCTCCAAAAGTTTTGAGCTTCTCAAAATATTGTGAGCGTTGAAAAAGGGACAATTTTACGCCCTGGCAAAGTTTATCACCGCTCCACCAACGCCCAGTCAAAGTTTGGCACCGCTAGACGCAAGTTCGTGGACGCTTGAATCCGCTAGACCAACGCAGAAATCTTAAACGCTGGACCACCGCTGCATCGCCAGCGTTGCCCGGGCGGCGATTAAACGTTGCACAAACGTCGGTGGAGCGGTTGTTAGCGTTTTATCAGCGTACATGGGGTTCTTGGAACGGTGTCGGACGTTGTCGGACGTTGTCGCAGCGTTCCATGGCGGCGATGAACTTTGCTTTGGCGTTGGTATAGAGGTGTCGGAGCGGGACCAGAATTTGGCTATAAATACGTGGAGAAATGCACCACTGTGTAGAACACTGTGGAGACACTTGTATTTTACATTTGATATATATTCATGTCTGGCATTTCAATTTTTTGCATTGTTCAAATATAGTATATACCTAGTGTTTTCACGTCAAGCAATTCAATAAATTATCTGTGAATTTTCTGCGCAGCTTGTAAAATGTTGCACTCGTCATGGTATTATACAAAAAGTTGATGCGCGCACAGCAATGCAAAAATTTGTCATGCGTCATGATTATTACTTTGCTGTAAATGTTATTTGACATTGTTAAAGCAATTTGAACGTAAATCGGTTCCAAGTAATGGAAATGCAACGATTAAATTGTGATATGTTTGTTTGAAATGATATGAGAGATTATTAAAGAAAATTGTAATGTTATTCATTCTTAATGTCATATTACATTAATAGAAGCACTTTAGATTTAAAACATTTTTTCTTTAATCCTTGAAGGACTTTTGTTAAAGTTACAAATTCCAATAAAGGTCTTTACTCTTAAAAACTTCCCACTTGAAATAATTTCCCAGTAGTTAAACGCGATATGCTGCTAAACCAACGCTGCTGCTATTTATACCCCCGCCGAGGCAACGCTCTCACGCGCAGAACGCCGCTATACCAACGCTCGCATTACCGCTAAACAAACGCTAGCTACCGCTCGCAACCGCTTAATCAACGCTAAAGCAACGCCGGGTTCAGCGGTGCACCGCTAAGCCAACGCCCGTGTTTTTGTTTTTTTTCCCCATTTTGTGCGCGTTGACGAGCGTTGATGAATTTTTTCAACGTTCAAGGAACGCTCCAGCAACGTCCGGGCGGTGTGACCGGGCCTTTACGTAGATAATATAGATATTCCACAACTCACTTATACCATGTTTATTATTCCTGTATAACTGTGGTCTTGATGTAAGAACAACACACTTATGGATGCATAGACCTGCGCAATTAATGATGACGTAATCAAACGCTTTATAAGTTAAACAGGAATAAAAAACATGCTATAAGTGAGTTGCGAAATCTCTCCATTATTTCAAACAATTTCTTTAAAGCTATGTGAAACAAACCATGGAAGATTCTGAAATGACAAGATAAAAAATAAACAGCCAAGGTGGTAGAATTAATCCAAAACTACTTAGTTCTAGATTTAATACTAAGCTACAAAAGGACAACAGATGACAATGATATGTTATACAGTTTACCTAGAATGATCCAATCAAGAACACATGACAGCTCAATAAAATGTTCAAAATAGCACATAATTATTTACTCATGGCACTATAAAAGGTAATCCTACAGAACCAGGAAGTATCCTTAAAAAAGATCAAAACCTTTCATATTTAAAATTCAATTGAATTTTACAAGGTTGAGATGACCTGACAACTACAAATACCAAAAAATTGAATCAGACTTATTTATATAGGCATTGATGTTCCAATTTTAAATCATTGTGTGATGACTTCATCGACAGCATACTAAAAAACTCATAAAACATGAGTAAACACTTTACCTAGGCATCCACAAGGAAGTTTAAACACAATGCAAGATAATTTTCCCTGTTAGAACTTTTCTGATAAGTAGCTATTCCATGCACTGGAACATTGAAAGAACACTGTGGAATAGTCAAATATCAAGAATGGAACATTTGTTAAGAGTTATCCTAATAACATTGGCCTCTCTCAGATACATGGATGGCCTGATATGCCCAGCTGGAATTAAAATTGAGAGGAAAATCCTCATTAACTTGAAGAACTTGTCTTGGTCTGAGGCTGTTATGGATTGTAACAGGAGGAAGGGAACAATCATCAATGTTAAGGACAATCAATCTAAAAGTATTGTTAGTGGTGTCATGGAGGGAAATAAGCTTGGGAATGCCTGGATTGGATATTCAGGTGATAATCAAGAAACATCAGATTCTTCAGAAATGAAAAAACTTTATTTCATCATGGAGCACACTGATGATGAACAATTGAAAGCGTCTTCATACAGCAGGAATCTTGAAAAATTAAGCGCAAAATATGCAAAAATTAATAGTGGAACTGCATGGGTACCTAAAGACAAGAGATTTAATAACTGGATCCAATTAGATCTCAGAAAAACAATGTGTATATATGGTATTGTTACAAAGGGTAGACAGGATAGAGATCAGTGGACAAAATATTACAGACTGCTGTACAGTAAAGATGGTGACAGTTTCCTCACACTTCAAGAAAAGGGAAGAGAAGAACTATCTGCTAATAATGACCGCAGTACATCAGTTTATAATAACTTTACAGAACCATTTGATGCACAGTTAATACGTTTATACCCACAAGATTGGAATGACCGTCCTGCAATACGATTTGACCTCCTGGTATCAAAAGAGAGCTGCCCAATTGACTATACATGTGGAAAATGTCCAGCTATGGTGAAAAAAACTGAAGGCACCTTGACAATTCAGTATGAGTCATGCTGCTCTAAATTACCATACATCTGTGAGACAGAGACATGTGACCAAGATCAAGCAGGATCTTTAACTGTTGCAACTGCTACCACTGTTACTACAGCAGCTATAACTGCTGTTATGGACAATGACCCAGTGACTACAGGCACCAGTCATGGAATCCTTTCTACTTCAGGTTATACTGACTCAATTATTAGTTATGCCACTACAAATCTCATCCATGGAATCCCCATCGCTTCAAGCTCTGCTTCTAGTTCCCCATTGACTATTGCACTCATAGTTGGAATGGTATTCTTTATGATTGCTTCCATTATTTTATTGACTTTACTGATCCTTTCAAAGCGCAATCAAACCAACCATGAATACTCCTCAAAATCACCGATTATGCATCATATTGACAATAATAAGGAAGAAATTAACCAAAGTGGCGCAAATGTTGCACAAAATTCACACCAAAAGACTGAGCCAAATGATTTAAATAATCGAGATAATATTAGAACAAAGAGTCAAAAATCAGATGTGATTTATACAAATATAGACACATATGAGACTCTGGATGATGTAAAGGTTGATGGTGCGGCAGAGCACGCTACATACCTTGAACTGCTTGATACTCCAAATGATGTGAGTGTATACAGTGTTGAAAAGAAAGTAGATATAGATGAAATCCCAAATGGAATGGAAATGATTAAGAATGAGATATATTCAAATGCACAAGCGGACCATTTACCAAATGCTTAGTGAACAAGGCAATGCCATGACATATAAAACCTGTTTAAGATGTACATATGCACATACTTACATACTGTATATAGCGGAATATTTTGCACAGTGGAGTAACTGACAAGAGTGGATGAACACTCTTTTAGTTGGGGTAATAATAATAAATGGTATAAAAGGGTGCACTCACCCATGTTGTAAACTGTTTTTGAATCTGCCTGTATAAGTCCTACCATCCGACCACACTAGTTCTCCCCTAAAACAAATGTAAAGCATTTATAAAACAAAGATGAAATCAACAAGGCATTAACATGCAAAATGTCACCAATTGCTATTTGTAAGGGATACTGACTGCCGAAATGTCAACAACTGAACACCAACCAGTCTCCGCAAAAAGTTGGAGACTATAACAATATGCACTTGTGGCGGTGACATAAAAATCGGAAAACTACTATTTAAAATGTGAAATATCATCTGGCCTTTGTCACCTGTCCCGATTCCTCTCCTATCTTTTTTCAAAGATCTCTGCCAACAGAGAGCATGGAAAGAGGATCCCTGAGCAATATAGGTCAGACAAATCTGCTGTGTGTTTCAGTGGAAAATGAAATCATCATTTTATCAGTGAGTCCAGGACATTTAAAATTGTGTCATAAGTCATCAAGAATCCTTCTTCATTACGACAAATTAACCCGTAGCGGGTGAAAATTCGAACAAACAAAGTTAGTAATTAAGAGATGTAATTATGTTTGCTATCTCTTAAGCTCTGGGGCTTTTCCTCCTCTTTCATTGTGATAAAGGAAAAAATCAGAGAAAAATATTTTTCATACTTACTGTCCATGCATCTTTCCAGAGAGCCACATTCCTGTGTAGACAGCATCCTTCAGCTTTCCTGCTTTGTAAAACTTATATGTGGCGTGTCGTGACAATGGTGGGGAAACATGACTGCCACCTTTTGGGCGATATATTTGTTTCTTGTCTGCAAGGACTTTGTCTATTGACCTGTTAATTTCCCACGTCCACTCAGCCTAAAACAAAAAGCATGTCTGGTTTAGTAGTGCACAAAGTACTATAGTAATGCTCAGTTACATTACATTATGCTCTGTCAATCAATATGTAGGCATTGCATGGGAAAAAAAGTAAAGTTTTATCTCCTATATAAAAAAAAATCTATACAATACAAATATAAGTTTACCTTTTCAGTCGGCCCAGGGGTTGAAAGAGTAAGGAATTCTTCAGGTGTTGTGAGAGTAAATACATTGCTGAAAATTACAAAAATAACAAGGTATTAACATGCAAAATGTCACCACTTGCCATTTGTATCAAACACTGAATGCCAGACAACCACCATCAACAAAAAAAGTTGGATATCAAAAAAAAAATAGACACCACTTTATTGTTTGACAATGTGCACATTTAAAAAAAATAAAAGTAGATCTATATTTCTATATTCTATGTTCTTTTAAGTTCTTTATCCTTTAAAATAAGATCCTACACTGTGTAGTGTCAGGGACCCTAGCTATACTTACTGTGTTGTCTCAGTGTCTGTTAGAGGTTCAATCCACACAGTGGATAATGGGAATGCTTGGTTGGTAGAAAACTGAAACACAAGCAGGACCAAATATATTGTGTTATGTTTGTTATGTTATATTTATTTTCATATTATAATTATTACAATTTGAATAACAGGGTTTGCACAAGACGCTGGGCGTATACTGTGCAGTTTACACCACATTACATATTACATTGTAGTGTATATATAGCAAGAGCACATTCTTTGATGATAAGGATCACTAGGTTAGCAATGAAACATGAACAAAATGAACCATGACATGATATTTGATATTAGATGTAGGTGGAGAGGAGAAGTGATTTCAAAGACGATTTAAACAAAGATAAAGTAGAAGACATAATGATGTTTCCATTTACTCCATTCCAAACTCTTGATAGTTCTACTTTTATTGACTTTTCACCAAATTTGTTTTTAAACATATATGAACGTATACGGTCTTTATTTCTAGTTTCATGGTCATGTGTATCAGCATTTGTGGAATAGAATTGATTAAAAAGGTGATATGGGAACTTGTCAGGTTTATTCATATTTTGGTATGCAAAGTTGGCAACATTCAAGTTAAATATGTCATAAATATTTAAGATGCTAAGATCTTTCAATAAAGGGGCAGCATGAGCTAACTTACTAGAATTTGTTATTAACCTGGCAAATTTCTTCTGGAGTATATGCAGAGGCTTGAGGAGATTTTTATCAGCATTACCCCAAATTATATTACAGTAATCAAGCCCCGAATGAATAAGAGCATTATAAATTTTCATTTTCGAACAGTTGTCAAGTAAGTGCTTAGAAGTATATAACATGTGTATAATTTTAGCTATTTTCCCTTTTAGTTTTTGAGTGTGAAGTTTCCAATTTAGTTTGTCATCGATTAGGACACCAAGAAAATTAATGTTATCCTTCCTTGTAATATTTTTGTCATCAATTTTTATCTTGATTTCTTCAGGGTTATATGTTCCTCTTTTAGGTGAAAAGAATAAAAAATTAGTCTTTTCAATATTAAGTGATAACTTGTTAGCCATGAACCAGTCATTGACTTTTTTAAGTTCATTATTTGCAACAGATATGAGTTCTTCTTTCGACTCATTTGAATGTAAAATACTGGTGTCATCTGCAAAAAGTACAAACTTCAATATAGAAGAAGTAAAACTGAGGTCGTTTATATAAATAATAAAAAGTAGGGGTCCTAGGATAGACCCTTGGGGTACTCCACATGAAATAGTTGTTGGGGTTGACACATGGTCTTTATATTGTGTAATTTGTTTTCTATCCGTTAAGTAAGATTTAAACCAAGAGTTTGCAACACCACGAATTCCATAATAATGAAGCTTCTCCAGCAAAATAGCGTGATCAACCGTATCAAAAGCTTTCGATAAGTCAAGAAAAAGGCCAATACAGAATTTATTATTATTAAGCGAATCTCGAAGTGATTCTAAAAAGGTGAGAATTGCCATATAGGTTGATAAGTTTTTTCTGAAACCAAATTGATCTTTACTTAATAATTTGAATTTATCCAAAAATAGTGTGACTTTTTTATGCATAATTTTCTCGAATACTTTAGAGAAAACACTAAGAAGTGAGATTGGTCTATAATTAGTGAAAAGGTGAACAGAGCCCTTTTTATATAGAGGAGTAACTTTGGCAGTTTTTAAGGTGTCTGGGAAAACTCCAGTTTTAAGTGATATATTACATAAGTAAGTCAGAATATTTCCTAGAGCAAGCTTATTTTCTTTCAATATAACTGGTTTGATTTGATCAAGTCCAGGTGAACCATTCTTAAGTTCAGATATTATATTTACTATTTCTTCCTCTGAGATTGGTCTTAAGAAAATTGAGGAATTAGCACTGTCATTGTTTGACATAAAACCCCTAAAAGATTTATTAGGTTTAATTTTATTTGCTAGATTTCTCCCAACATTTGCAAAAAAGTCATTAAATCTTTCGGCTATACCTTGATTGTCCGTAATTTTATTACCATCAACTTGAAAGAATGGAACATCCTGTGATTTATTATGTTTTCTTTTTAAAATCTTGTTTAATATTGACCAGGTTTTCTTAAAGTGTCTTTCTAAGACTTAGAAGGAGAAATGTGAGATTTCGAGCCATATGTCTCAAGAAAATGCTCTTACCTTTCTAGTAGGATGAGTCCAGGTGCCAAAAACAGCTGATCAAAGGATATATATCATTTTCTAATTGAAAATTTTTGTTGAGCCCTGCATTTTTAGCACTGTTTTGACAGGAAGTCATACCCAAAATGAAAACTGAATAAAACAACCTTTATCCTAAATGTAGATCAAAATACTTACTCAGACATGCAAAATGTTATTATTAGTAGTAATGCTGATCATTTTTAAGAAATTTAAGCATGTAAATAAGACTTTTTTCGTCCATGATTATATAGATAAAGAATTTCTACCTTCAGGAAGCTTTGGCAGTTTGGTGTAGTGGTTAGAGCTTTGGGCTCAAACAGACTTTTATTCCAAAAGATCTGGGTTCAAATCCCTCCAGTGGAATGTGTTTTTATTCTTTATTTTTGTTTTTTTTTTCATTTTGATCCACAATATTTCTAAAATAAATTTTTATATATGGCACCTAAACCATATTTAGTATTTCCAAAGGTTTTAATTTTTAGATGAAATCATAGAAAGTTACTTTAACATCCCCTTTGCATTCATCAATTTTTTGTTTAAAATATGTTTTTTCTGCATTCCGTATTAGAGTTGTGAGAATATTTTTATATGTCTTATAATTAGTACTATTAATAGGATTGGGATTTTTTAAATATTCTTTATATAGTTTGTTCTTCTCTTTAACTGATGTGAGAATAGCGTCAGTCAACCAAGGTTTCCTTGTATTAAGGTAAATCTTTATTGTTTTTGATTTTGAAGGAAAGCATTCATTGTAAACACTCATAAATTTGTCAATAAAAACTGAATATGCTTGATTGCAATTATCTGATTGTTTGACATCATTCCAGTCTGTGTTTGAAAGCTGGTAGTTGAATTTCTCCTTAGCTGTTTTATTCATAATCCTATAATTAATAGTCTTGTAAATTGACTGTTTTAGTTGTTTTTTAGTGGTTAAGAAAATAGGGAAATGATCAGATATATCAGTTAGCACTATGCCAGAATAACTTATATCTACAGCATTTGTAAAAATATTATCAATAAGGGTAGCTGATCTTGATCCTATTCGTGTTGGCTTGTAGATTGAAGGATGAAAACCATTTGTTAACAAAGAATTGTAGAAATCCTCGGTCATATAATGCTCATTTGCCTTTAAGAGGTCTATGTTAAAGTCTCCTAAGATGTATGTGACTTTCCCTTCACCATTTAATCTTTTAAGAAATATATCTATGTTGTTGTTAAAATCTCTGAGGTTAACATTCGGGGGCTTATAAAGGACAGATATTAGTATATTTTGCCCAGACTTTAAAGACATCTCAATGGTGCATGAGTCGCAATTATCCATGTTAAATTCTAAATCTGGTCTTTTGGTGCAATTAATATTATCAAGAATATGTATACAAACTCCTCCCCCTATCCTACCATCTCTAGATTTGCATATGGTGCTATATCCTTCTAAGTTATAAGTATCTTGATTGTTATTGTTTAACCAGGTTTCAGACATGGCTATGATAGGGAAGTCATGCTTTAATAAATTGTGCAAGTTATCAAATTTCCATTGATTTTTCATGACACTTCTCATATTTACATGTATCATAGACAAATTATTCCCACTGTCCATTGGTTGGCTGTTCATTTGCTCAAGAGTATAATATTTACATTTTTCAATTAAAGTTGTTGAAAAATCATTATCTTCAATAACATTATGATTGGAGGGGTCATTAGCAACACCTCTATCAAGGTCTTTTGGATTGAACATTAAGCTTTCAAAGTCAATGTGATTATTAGCTGATGGAATGACATCAAAGAACATCACTAGAGTAACGTTATAAAAGGGTAGCTCACAAAGATGCAAGTCATCCATGGTTAATCAGGTTTAAATGTTGTTGTATGGAAAAGTCGGATTAGTAAGGAGACCCCTTCTAATCTCATCAAATATTCATATATATTAGGATGAATGGAAGCTGTAACTAGAGCTATCAGTTGAATTGACCTGGTGACCTGAAGTTCATGTTTCATTGTAAAATAAGCATGGAATGAGAGTGAGAACTCATTAAGAATAGCTACAGTTGTATATGTTTCATAAATGATCCTTATTTGGTGATTGTTATCAGCATATCGCTTTGAAGTGGTGTCTTTAAATGAAGTGATTATAATTGGCAAACATACTAGTATCTTTGATTTATGTTCTTGAATTTGTGAAGAAACTAAACTATGTTTTCTATATACTAATACTAAACTGACTAATAGAAAAGACAAACATATGAATATGTTTGCAATGTCCAAGATTGTCATTTCTGTTGATGAAACTCCCAACTTTTATCTTTCAAAAGTTTTGAGACAATATATATAAGGATATGTTAGTCCAAAATATGTAAGTCCAGGGGGAAAAGTCATTAGATGATTGCTTTGGCATATTAAAATGGTGCTGTAATTGGAGATTATTTAGATAGAATATCTGTTATTGGTGTACCAATATCGACTTGGATAGTTCCTTTTCGGCCTTGTGGGCGGCAATAGACTTTGGTGTTGAACATCCATGCATCAGTTATATTTGGATCATTTTTTAGGCGATTGATCAGTCCCATGTTCTTTTTAGTGATGTCTTCATGTATACCTATCCCCGTTCCTTTCAGTTGTCTACGATTGCTGATGAACTTCTCTTTGTGCTCCCGTGCCTTAAACCTCACAATTATGGACCTTGGTTTTGTGGAGGCATCATTTTTGGCGTCGACTTTCCTTCCAACCCTATGACATGCATCTATGTCCTCTGTTCCAAGCTTAATACCAATGTCAGTAGCTATTTTACGAACTGTCTGGCTACAAACTTCATCACCCTCTTCCTTTACGCCAGTAATTTTGATATTTGATTTTCGTGAGTATTGTTCATTGTAGTTAGCATGTCGTTCAATTTCGAGAAGCTTAATGTTCTGGTTTTTGATTGTTTCCTTTAGTTGTTGATTATCTTCCTCCAGCGCTACAATTTTGTCGTTGAGATGTTCCAAAGATGCCGAAAGTTCCTCTTTTACAATAAGTCTGATGTCCTCTGGGGTTGCTATTTTTTGAGTTAGGGCTTCGATGATTTTTTCAAGTTTATCAAGTTTGTCAACTTTTGGTGGTGGCATGATGGTAAATGATCAGGATTAAAGTAGTTATAGTAATAATAGTAGTTTTATAGTAGTGTTTATAATCTTCTGATATAAGTTCCTTATCTAACACATAATCCTCCTATATTGTATGCACATGGTAGTTATTTATTGTCTAAAGCATAATGTTACTCCATTTTAAACAGCCAAATAATAGTTCTATAATCCTCTTAAATTATTGTCATATATTTTAAACATATCCTGACAAGTTTAATATACAATCCTCCTATATTCTAAGCACATATTTTGTGACACTTCTGTCAGAGTCAAATCATGTACCAGAAAAAAACACACAAAAAACAACATGTACCAGGCTTGATTGATGATTTCATTGCTTGAATTTATAACTACTAATTGAAACGTTAATGTAAAAGTAATGCTGTCATTAAGCTTGAAATCTAAAGTTTAACATTCCTTGCAAAGATGGTAACTTCATTATACCTGAGCTTGAACGATTTTCTATATTAACAGTTTACCTGAGCTTGAACAATTTTCTATATTAACACTTCACCTGAGCTTGGACAATTTTCTATATTAACACTTCACCTGAGCTTGAACAATTTTCTATATTAACAGTTTACCTGAGCTTGAACAATTTTCTATATTAACAGTTTACCTGAGCATGTACAAATACATCATTGAAGAGAATAAACCAATGGGTGGAGAAACGGCCAGCCTGGGGTATGGTCAGGGGCAGAGACTTGCTCTCCTTTAACAAGCGCCTGTTTGAAACCTTTAATGACTCCTAAATATAAGGAAACATAGCTTAATACGTTGAAATATGATTATTTCATTTACTAGTACTCATTTGTATGTATAGTTCTGAAAATATGTGACATTATTTTATAATTGTGAACTTTGGAATTGTATTTGTAATGTGACTTAATAAATAATAAAAATAAAGAAGTATAGTTCTGACTAATGTAATGTCAGTGACACTCTATAATAAATTTTACACATGTAAGTATTCACTAACAGCCATTTGTAATTGAGATTGGGAATAGAATTGATCCAAGAAAGGTCTCTACAAAGTACTGCTGTTGGAGTTATATTTTAAATACAATGTTTAAAAATGAATGTTTGAAATAAATCATATAGATTTTTTATAAGAAATAATCAAAAATAAAAATAAAGACATACAACAAGTTTATAAGGACTGGACTCCCAAAAAACTCTTGTACTCTCAGCAACTGTATGTTCCACAGACGCTTGGCTTTTAATACCATCCCACATCTTACTAAGAGAGGTCAGGTGACAATGCTCCTCACTGCCCTATAAATAGAAATAATATCATATGACTTCAAAATGACCAACAACAATCATATCACTTGAACTGTCAGCACACCCTTACTTAGGGAGGTCAGGTAAAATTAATCTCAGCTTTATCCTGAAAAATATATACAGATATCCAAAATAAAAGATAGAATATTAGCTTTATCCTGAAAAATATATCATAACTTACTGGGAAGCCAATGATTCAATACACACATATAAAATACATGTACTGCCATAAATATGAATAAACAAGGCATTAACATGCAATATTTCACATCTGCTATTTGTTACCGACACCGACTATCAAACATTCAACACCAACTGCCAAATGCAGAACACCAACAAAAAAACACCTCATCCAAACATCATCCACAAAAAATCAGTACTGTTAATTTACCTCAACATAGGCCAGTGCTAGCTTTGCTTTCAGTCTGCCATAATCCTTCAGTCTTCTCAGAGGAATCTGCATGAGGCGTCTTACATTCACTGAGGGGTTCTCCTTGTCTAACTTGCTTTCTTCCAACATCTCACTGAACACTGACTGGATGCTTTCAAAGTATAACCTATAGAAAGGATAAAAGAGAGAAGATTAACATCTAAACCATATGGATATACATTAAATAGTCAAAGATTGGTCACAAAATATCCTCTAAATTCAATACCCCTTCAACTACTCAAACTGAGTGCTCACCCAATCTTAAACCAATTTCTTCACTTTCTGGACCATTTCAATAAAGTAACAACAGTGGTCTACTATTGCTAAATAGCATGTCTTTATACAATAAGACACGTGGAAAGGCTGAATATATGGATATACTTCACTGCAGACAGATTTAAGTTCATGAAACCTCTACTACTTACTGTCCTTCTTTTGCGATTTGTTCAAACCCTCCTAGTGCCAACATATCTCCGAAGTATTTTGAGTAGGTCTTGAACTTGTTCATATAAAAGTCATGCTTGTCTATACATCTCAGTGTTTCTATAGGTAGGCCCTGCTGTATAATAGCTGTCAATTCTAGACTGTTAGAACACACCTAATAAACGCATACAAATATTTCAGAGTATTACTGACCATGCAGTAACTGATTGAAATAACATAACTGTAAAAATCAAATTTATTATTGTGGAAAATTTTAACTGAATTCAAAATATGCTATCAAAAAAAGTTAAATGTAAGTTATTAACAGAGGTTTAATATGCAATTCTCATAAAATCTCACAAAAAAACTAGAATTAACAGGACTTCAAAGCAATATAGAAACTCCTATTTTGATAAAACCTCAATGAAAGCATGTTCTCCCTAAATCCTGTTTATAAAAATCAAGATGGAAGATCTTATATTTACCATATTAGAAATACTGATGAATGTCTCGAAAAGTGACTTTATAGTAGCACCATGAGAGGACTTCAGCAAAGAGTCATAGATATCTGAAAAACAAAAATAAATGGAATATTCTTGACTGATCTCTTATTACTCAACAGATGGCAAACTTGTTCGATTAATACAATATTCTGTTGACATTATAATGTCATTTCATAAGCTCAACTGTATTGTTACTCTATCATAAAACATAACATTTACTATTCTATAACAAAATATATAGTCATACATTTAAAAGTATAGACCAGTGAATCAATTGTACGCTTATTTTGACATCACATTTCATATTAGAATGATATTTATTCCTATTATCAATATTCATTGTTTACTATAACAGAAATGAAATTACACTTTAAATTGTGCAGTGAATATTTTTTTATGTTTTATCAATTTTATTTAATGTTTTCTATGAATAAAAAAGTAATAAAAAAAAAATTAAAAAAATTATTTAAGATGACTCATACTTCTTACCTGTCTTAGTGAAAGGTAATACTACTCGGTTGAGAACAGGGAATAATTGGCAATAGAAAGACCTCTCAGTGCTCGCAAACTCGTGTAAAGTTGCGATGTGACCTGTAGTGTTCTTGTCTGATATACACCCGCATAAATCACCTCCACATATGATTGCCTTCACAAAACCAACCTTAAATACAATACAATGTAATGTAATACAAACTCGTGTAATGTTGGGATGTGACCTGTACTGTTCTTGTCTGATATACATCCGCATAAATCACCTCCACATATGATTGCCTTGACAAATCCAACCTAAAATACAATTCAATGTAATGTAATACAAACTCGTGTAATGTTGCGATGTGACCTGTAGTGTTCTTGTCTGATATACATCCGCATAAATCACCTCCACATATGATTGCCTTCACAAATCCAACCTAAAATACAATTCAATGTAATGTAATACAAACTCGTGTAATGTTGCGATGTGACCTGTAGTGTTCTTGTCTGATATACACCCACATAAATCACCTCCACATATGATTGCCTTGACAAATCCAACCTAAAATACAATACAATGTAATGTAATACAAACTCGTGTAATGTTGCGATGTGACCTGTAGTGTTCTTGTCTGATATACACCCACATAAATCACCTCCACATATGATTGCCTTGACAAATCCAACCTAAATACAATACAATGTAATGTAATACAAACTCGTGTAATGTTGCGATGTGACCTGTAGTGTTCTTGTCTGATATACACCCGCATAAATCACCTCCACATATGATTGCCTTCACAAATCCAACCTAAAATGTTAGGTGGAAAATCTTCTCATATTTGTACCACTTTTAGAAAATGTTGCGCTTATCGGGTGAACACGGTCAAAAAAACATTAAATAGTCTAAAACAAATCCCAGTATTTTCTATAAGGATCATGATCATTTGATTCACTTATATTTTCTCAAAGGTAAAGGTAACCTTGTAACGGAATTAAAAGTACAATGTAACAGAGAAAGTGTTCCTACCTGTTTGAGAGATGAGAGTTTAGATGGGGAACTTGTACTGTGTTGTTGCTCATCTTCACAAATAGATTGCCTGAAGAATACATGAACACAAATAACTCCCATTACTCAATATAAAAAATACATATACTTGTATATTTAGATCGAAGGGTTTAGACAAATTAAGCCCATAGAGAATTTAACTTGAACTGTAAAAGATCTTCACAAAATCTTTAATAAATTGAAAAAAATGTGAACAAAGTTTGGGGTAAATTGACAAAAAAGAAGGGAATGTAGGTCAGTATTCCATGGGTGATCCTTGGGGGAGGGGCTTAAACAAACTCCTTTGCTATGGGGCAAGTCGCACATATTCAAGTCATTATACTTGCCTAGGTTCTCTCCCACAGTAGTAGAGATCAGGTTGGCAACTTATGCCATCTACAAGGAAGACACTGTGTCTCTCACTAGCTGCTATGTCCCACACTTGATTGCTACCTACAAACTGCAATCAAATGCACATATATATATATATTGTATAACATTATATTTTCAAAATTCCAAAATAACACTCCTTATTATAACCTCACAAATTCTCACAAATCAAAGAAAGTTGATCAAACATTTAAACAATGTATTAACATGCAAAATGTCACCACCAGCCATTTGTTAGAGACATCGACCACTATTACACTCGCCGAACACTGTTAGAGATGCTGACACCAGCCACAAAAAGTAGGGGCTTATTATGACAATACGTCACCGCTGACGTGGCAAAATAAAAAATGAAATCCAAATCTTTTTATTATTCTGACCTATCCCCCATGGGACTTAACCATCCACTAGCTTACCCTGACTCGATGAGGTGTCTCTATTAGAGGTTCATTGTGACCTAACTGCCCATCTTCATTTCTACCCCAGCTGTATACCTGAATCAAAAACACCATTCTATTAATAGTTACATGACTGTTCCAAATTAAGATATATGGATTATCATACATACATTACAATGATATGCAGTACAGGCATCTCAATAGGGAGTCAATAATACACTGCTGTAATTCTCAAATATATGGGGTCAGCTCAGGAAAACTCTTGAAATATATTTCTGTGAAACTTTTTTGTGACAGTTTTCTCCCCTGCCTTATACAAAGCTACTCTCAATACAAGCAAATACATGTATAGGCAAAGTAATTCACATTTAAATTTTTTTTAAATTTTTAAGTGTTCAAGTGCATATCACACCCACTTGTTTCAATGTTGGGGAGGTGAGAAGAAACCTCTGGTAGCACCTTACCTGAGAAGTGGCTGCCAGTGCTAAAGAGTGGTAGGAACCAGCAGATATCTTAACAATATTCTTGTCATTCAGGCTCTTGATGCAACATGGTAGATGCCTAAAATACAGTGATTCATGGGATAGTATTATATGTTTTCATTGAGGTTTTAATTGCTAAAACAATTCTGAGGTCAGAGCAATAATATTTTGATATATAATCTGCTTAATATCAATGTATTGCCATACCCAAGGTGGTGGGGGGGCTGCGATGGGTGCCCCCCAACAAAAAAAGAAAAAGAAAAAAGCAATTTTGTAAAAACATTAACATATTATAGTTTGAAATGCTTAGAATGCACCATAGTCCATATACAATGTAAATTTTAAAAAATTTCAGGGGGTGAACCCCTGTACCCCCTTTTTTGGATTGATTCACTGGCAGTGATGCAAACCCCCCCTAAGAAGAAGTAGATTAAACATGTATATATCAAGCCTAAGATAGATGTAATTGTTATAATCAGCAATATCTAAAGAAATTCAAATGTTTGTTGGAAGTGTTGAACTTAATATCATAGCATGATATCAGACTAAAGAATGAATTGACATGTAATACCTTTATTAAGAGATATGTTATGTTTCTTGAACTCTAAACTCAGTGATAAACAAGGATATTTTCTTTCTCTCTTAGTCCACAATGCTTCAGCTTTAGCTTTGCAAATTGGCATTGAATCTAGTTATTGATTGGTAATGTCAGTTCAAATAATGGTACAAATTTAATGACTTCTCTGAGAAAGGATCTAGCTGTTGCATAACATACCTATAAATGCTATAGTAATGAAGTTATCTAATTACTTAATGCATTATCACTTGGTTTACTACAAAAAAAAAATTCTTAGATGCTAACTCTGTTAGCAAAGTAAATATGCTCTTGCATGGTAACAGTGAACTTAGTAATGCAGATAATACACTTCTGCTGAAAGCAACTTTAAAATTCCTACAAGCAACCAAGATTGACTAACATGTATATTACACCATCCCATAATTTACACCACTGCACACCTTTTTTTGTAAAGCATTCCAATATCAGCTTTAATTGTACTTTTTCCTTTTTGTTTATATATGAATAGTTACGAATAATTGTAACAAAGGACGATTCTCGGTTTGGAGAACAGTCTCCTGGGCTAATAATTTGATTCATGAAAAATATAAAAATATTACCCAAATTAAACTATGAATATTCAAAAGAGGACATTTAAATCTACAAAATGTAAAAATAACAAATTGGTCTGAAGCAGGGATAACGCTCAATTAGACCGATTCAGTAAAATACAAGTCTCGATTTGGGGAAAGAAGTTCATCGGTGTACTGCGCTAATATTTTTTTGCGAAAAATATAGAAATATTACCCAAATTAAATTATGACTATTCAAAAGAAGACATTCAAATCTATATTATGTAAAAAAAATCAAATTTGTCCGAAGCAGGGATAATGCTCATTTAGATTGATGAACTTCGTTCTCCAAACCGAGAATCGTCCTTTGTATTGCATATAAGTGTATGGTATGTCTACTTCGAAGTTCAACACAAATGTTAAATTGATTAACCTTGTTGAATTTTCATTGTATGAAATTAAATGTTATAATATATGAACTTGAAATAAAAATGATTAATAAAAAAAAACAACTACAAAAGCCTGGTGGCAAATCAATGAAAATTCCAACTTAATTCCAATACAAGATCCAGGCTCTAGAAGTATATACATCTCAGTTTGGATGAAAATGAACTGTACCCTTATAATCTAGTTTACAGTTATACTTCAATGGTGCATACAATTGATAGTTAATCTACCCTTTGCTTGCATTGACGTAGTCGCAAAAAGATTGCGCACGCATTGTTACACATTTTCGCTTTTTAACACCACAGAATGTGACGTTTTTTTTGAGAAAAATGTACACATATAGAAATCCTTTCATCCTCCACATTTGCCTCTATATCTCAAAATATTTAAGGCGAATAACTATGATATTGTATATGTATTAACAATGGGATAGGAGCATCATAAAACACGAATCAATTGATATTATAGGTGAAATAAATATACGTGTTGCTGTGCTTGAAAATAGGCGAATGGCGTAAATTAGCCCTATTTTAATGAATTTTGAAAACCTTTCGTCCTCTACTTTTCCACATACAACAGAAAACACATACTTTTGCGAACAAAATCAACTATTTATTAATAAACTAGAGTTTAAGAGCAAAATAATGATGTATGATTTATTAAAAATTGATCTTGTATTTTTTGTTTAATGTACACCTGAAAAGTTGAAGGTTACAAAAAATGAGCAAAAAAGGTCGCTGTCAACAGATTCTATTTTTCAAACTCTATGACGTCACAAAATGGGACGCTTACTAAAATTCATCCTTTGAAATGAAACTTCCATCTACCTTTATCAAGACGAAAAATAAGTATAATAGTCATATATTGTTTGAGTTATGAGCGTTTAAAGACGAAAAATATTTCAAAATGTAACGTGTCAACAGGGGATATTTGCCAGATGTTTTGGTAAAAAACTCTTTTTTAAAAAAGAACGTGCAAGAATCGTGAACAGATTGTAGTTGATCTAAAAACTTCAGGACCATTTTCTATGCTTTATATTCTGATGATGTTATTGTCAATCCAGAATTTACCGACATTAAAGCATTATATTTCACCTCTCTGATTGGTTGAGTGAATATCAGCATAGTAGGTTTGAAATGATGCAGGCTGTATTCAATTTCAAGTTTGAATTTAAGCTGGATTTTGTACATCAAAAAAATCTGTGAAAAAACTTTTAATCAATACACATGTACAGTATTATATGCTATATAATACATTATTGAATTTCATGTACTATACAATGTACTCAGTACTTCAATTGCATTATCCTACATCCAACAGTTGCCACCAAATTGGAAATCAGATTAAACAATTTGCCTTCATAATCGGCATAATGAATTTCATATTGATTTCCACTATAAGGTATTGTATTGCATTGTCTGAACTGTAATTGGAGCAATAATGATTGCAACTTAAAGCTTAACAACCCCCTTTGCAGCTTCTGTGTACTTGTTAAGGATGCTTTAAAATCTAACATCTGATATTTGAACATCTAAAAGGAGATCAATGTCTGAATTTCATATCAGCAGTAGAGTTCATGAAAAGCACTTTTACAATTTATTTTGTGAGGCAGTGAGGCATTTGCCTCTTTGGCCTCGTTCTTAGGCTATGTCAGCATGTGTTTACCTTTCTTTGAGGTCAGCTAGTCCCAATTGCCCATTCTGGCCATCACCCCAGACCCAAACTTCTGTTTCGCAACACACTTCACCATCTGCAAAATAATGTAATTCAATATGTTAATATTCTGAAAACAAAAAAATCAACATGTGTGTTATGGAAAAGGGGATAAAGGAAATTTCATTGGTAAAAGCTGTTGATTTTTTGAAAAATTCAAGTGAAAAGCATACTCAGTATTAAATTTTTCAAATTATATTATATATGATGGGGGATGATGGCTATTCATTAAAAAAACCAGCTTAAATTTTCCACAACTGTTCGAATTTAGACACCATCCCTTATCAATAAGTGTCAATACAAAATGATTTCCAAAACATATTTTGATTTACCTTGTTTAACATGGTTGACAAGACCAACAGGCAATGACTTAGTTCTACTCAACAACTTATCTTCTTCTATCACATCATCCGGTTTCAATGACTTTGACCTCTTTGGGTCTACATGTCTGTGCCTTTGTAAAGTTGGAGATGACCCTGATAGGGAATCTGACCTTGAATCGCTTGAAAAAGATTCAACACTACTCGACTCAGATATCTGCGTAATACTGTCAATATTGGGGCTCGACACAAATCCAAACTTATCCATGGAATCCTTTACGGTAGACATAACTTTACTAGTTATAGTAGAGACTTGATCAACCACGCCTGATGTCATGGGTACATTATTAAGAATGCTGCCGATTTTACCCCTGAGGTAAGCATTATTTGACGGCGGGAAAGTCTGACCACCCATGACGATGTGATCAACATTATCGAGAGAAGATGTCCTCGATATGATTTCAATTTCTGATGTTTTCTCTTGTAGGTTTGCACCAGGATTAGATTCATTGTTCGAAAGCTGTCTTTGAAGAAATGCCTTAGCTTCAATTTCATCAACAAATGAAGTTGAACTCTTCGATTTTGGGACTGTATCATCAACTACCAATAGGTGGGCCTGTGTGGGTTTGGGCTCAGAATTCGCTCCATTTGAATCATACACACTGTTGGCTTCACTGCCATTTGAGTGTTCTAATCCACTGTCCTCACTTGCAACTGTTTTATCAATGTCTAAACCAAGTGGGCATGTGTGATCATTGTCAATAATACAAGTGTCGTTAGTCTCAGTATATGTGTAAATCTCATTATTGCACTCAACACATGTTGATGGTTTGATGTCATGCACTTTAATCTTACACTGAGGACTCTCAGGGGTAGATAGGTTCCTAGTGCTGACTGTTTTCTTCTTGACTAATGCAACGCTGTGTTGAGCCCCAGCAGATATACTCAAGACATGTCTGAATGTGAAAGTTTGCATTAAGGTGGGTTTAGATGTGTGTTTAACCTGTCCTAGGCCAAGCTGTGGGCCTGTACCCCAGACGTAAATATCACTGTCTGTAGAGAGAGCTAAGGTATGCGTATCCCCGCAACTAATATCCTGTATAGAGACGGCATTGCTCTCAGCCGGGATACCGTGTTGACACACATGGTGATCCTGCGTGACACTAACTAAACATGGAGTGGGAATTTTGTCTGTAGTATATGGTCCGCACTGTCCATGTAATGCATCACCCCAACAGTACACATCACCTGATGATGTCACAGCAGCAGTGTGACGCATTCCACAATCCATATTTGTTATGAATTTCCCTGGAAAATACCATAGAGAATTATCAATACCACGTTCATATACACTAGTAACCCTAAATTAGAGATTAAAATCATTGCTGGGCTGTCTTTTCAATGTATATTCAGATAAGAAATTTAGAATACATGGGAATCTATAAAATATACATCAACATTAAGGAAATTGTGGCTTTGTAAATAATTTGAATCCATTATGTTCTATATTTATTTTCAAATTAAATATCTACCTCACAACCAGTGGGTTTATTAGCCTTTTGCAGGTTATCAATGCAACCAGTATATCTATACTGTATAATTGAGTCTGTATATTATCATATAAATACTACATTTGCATTTTATCAGAACTTCTGGATCGGCCTTTGTAAATATTATTTCCATACCTCTACATGTATATAAATAAGTGTCTATCTTTATTCACTGTACAAAAACTGAATGTCAGACAGGCTAAAATGAAGTTAAGAAATGAAATGAAAAGTCTACCTAATAATGCCTCAACCAGAAAAGGCTCCTTTAGCTCATCTGTCAAGTGTCCAAGGCCAAGCTGTCCATACTGATTGTTTCCATAGGTGTACATTTCTCCAAACTTTGTGAGGAAACTGATATGATGAGATCCCAGTGCCACCTTTTGTACAGGTAAAGAACTAAACACATCAAATGATCTTGGTGTGATTGTTCCAATGTAGCCCTGCCAGACATAGACCTGGTCCTTTCCATCATCATCGTCATGTCTGAAAATGTGATGAAATGAAGTTCATGGCCTTTGAAGAGACGAGTAAGATTATAGTCTATTTCACTTGGCTTTTGTGTCAATCAAACCTACAGTGCTATATATGAATGTATTACATACCCAGCGAAGCATTTGTATTGAAGTCAATGGAGCTGAAGGTCGGCTATATATTCCTATATAGCCGTCAAACTTTTTACCATGACAATCTTATGACGTCATCGGGACGTCATGTTTCATTTCTTCCTAATTTCACTCGCACACAGACACGTGGCGTCATTGATATAACGTAGCCATGATATAAAAGTATGTAATACAACAGTTATGTCCGTATCATTGAATATATGCCTTCGGTCTGTCGTAATATAGCCCTCGCAAGCTCGGGCTATATTGGTGACAGACCTCAGGCATATATTCAATGATAGGGACATAACTGCTAAGTATTACATACCTAGCGAAGCATTTGTATGGAAGTCAATGGAGCCGAAGGACGGCTATATATTCCTGTATAGCCGCCAAACTTTTTACCATGACAATCGTATGACGTCACGTTTCATTTCTTACATGTTCCAATCGCACACAGACGTGTGACGTCATTGATATAACATGAAAACAAAGCATTTTTGTCTTTTTTCACGCATTTCTACATATTATATTCATGAAATGTAATGTAAAATGTACTTTAGGTATGTCGTAAATATAACCCTCGCAAGCTCGGGCTATATTGACGTCAGACCTCAGGCATATATTCAATGATAGGGACATAATGGCTAATTATTTTCTAAATGAAATTGTCATAGGCCCAATAACATGTATAATCAGGTGAGTCTCAAAGTTCGAATTGGAGGGAATAATTCAAATAAACAGGTAAATATAGCAAAAGATAGTCGTATATATGCACGAATGAAGAATCGATTTCACTTGTGTGCGATAAACTGGTTACGTGACAAACCTTTAAATTAATGAAATGAGATTTATTATATCCACTTAGATTTTTTTGAAAGGACTCAGACTTTATCTTTTATACATGCAACGTTCCCGGACCTACGGAAAGTGTGGGGTCCTTTGATTTGAGTGCTTATTCATTTTCACTGACTGTGTAAATAAATAACACATATAGATCTACTATAGATCTTCAGTTTTCACTCAAGACTTGAGACCAAGACTTGAGTCATCAAATTACACTTCAATAAAAGAGTGCCAAAGACTCATCTCTGAAGTGAAAACGAATTGAATGATCAATTAGGCCTAAAAATGTCAGATGTGATGATCAAAGTCAAATGAAACTATTTGTAAACAAAGTAGATTTCTCCACAATCCCACAAGTAGATCGTCGAGAATTTGAAGAAAATGTACTTTATTGATGATTGACTCGACCTAGTATTGTTATTCTTACCTCCTATTCTTCTTTGTTGCCATATTTTCAACCTTTTTACAAAATTTTGGAAAATAAAAATATTTCTGCCATTTTCAAACTCCCGCGTGACTTTGCGAGAACTCAATAATGCGCATGCGCATTGTTAGTGACAACAAAATAACAAAATTAAAACTTCACATGTGAAAATTTCTCTTATATTTCATCGGTTTCCAGCGTATATCTCCAATAAATATATACTAAAGTAAGTGCGCTAGCTCTTTCAAACTTAGGGTAATAAGAAAAGATATATATTATTATGTATTTTACTCTTTATTTCCTAATAGACTAGTACAAGCTGAAGTGCAACTAAATTTTCTTTGGATTATCATTAGGCCTATTATCACCAGCAGTCAGCTCAGGTGTCACTTTCTAAGCGTCACTGAGTTGTCACTATCAGCCAATGTTCAATAGCACAATGATCAGTTTCATGTATATCTAATTTAATCCCTGACATTGTTTCATACTGTATAATGACAAAAGATATCTCTCCTTGCTCCATATCATGGGCTTCGCGCTATTTTTATGAGTAATACGCCATAATGGTAACACGAGTTCAGAGAAGCGAAAAACTAGCGTTCAGGGTGGTCTGGAGGTTCTCCCCCAGAAAATTTTGAAGTTTGGTTGTATTTGAAGTGTATTTGCAACCATCTGGTACGCCTGTGCATACCTGGCTTACCTGGCGCTAAATGCATATGCAAGGTACGAGTGTAGATAAGGGCAGTGACAAGCCACAGAATCTGTAAAGTCAGAATTTTCCTATGTTCTAGGCTAGATAAACTCGGACGCAGAAGCCTCTATTTGTACTTTAATGCTGATTGATCTAATAGATGATCTTAGAGATCAGTCAGCCTTTGGAAGAGGTAACTTTGAGCATGATGTAACTTTGAGGTAACTTTGAGGCCTACGTATCTTGTATTTCAGAATAGAAAAATGAGTGGGAAAAGCAAGAAAGTGAAAGTCCTTGTGAGGACGCGACCAACAGCGAACTTTGCACATGACATGATTGACCTACAGCCAGATGGAAAAGTAAGAACAGTATTTAAACTCTTTGACAGGACATAATTGAGTATGGAGATAATTCCTTTGTCACATTTGATATACCGCAACTGTACAGTGGTTTTAGTTTCCCCAAATCAATAGAAATATGCAGCATAAAATATAGGGATGAGGAGTATGATAAAGATTTTCTATATCAATTTTGTGAAGCTACGGCTGCCATACACCTTCACTTCTTTTTTGAGAGCTTTTAGATTGTGTGTATCATTGTCTACCAAATAGCTAGTTGTGTTTTAGGGGATAGGATGTACAATGGGCTTGAACATGTTATTTTACTAATTGTTTTGTATGAATTCTATAAATTTTACAACATGAAGTTTACTGGTAAAAAATTTCTGAAGGAATCATAAATTAATATTCATTGGTTATTGCTACAGACAATTAACATCCACGGTAAGAGAGATGACAGAAGAGGTGTGGTAAACAATCAGATACTGGACTGGTCTTTCAAACTAGATGGTGTGTTACACAATGCCAGCCAAGAGCAAGTCTATGATACAGTTGCTACTGATATTGTTACATCAGGCCTCGATGGATACAATGGTAAGAGCATTTTCAAAAACCTATACATTTTGTATATTTGATTATTCATAGGTCATAAGGCTACTAAATAGACAAAACATATGATTTTCAACATCATGAATATTTCATACACGAGACAGACAAGCTTTACATTTGGATCAAGTTCATGTTCAATGTTATGGATAATGGAGATGCTCTTGTTCAAAGGTTTCACTTTATAGATATGAAACATTTATAAATCATCTATACAGTATCATTTACCATATTATTTTCCAGGAACACTTATGGCCTATGGGCAGACGGGGGCAGGAAAAACTTTCACTATTACTGGAGCCACAGAGAACTACAAGCACAGGGGCCTTATTCCTAGAGCTTTGTCACAACTTTATGCTGAGATAGATGATAGGCCAGAATACTCCATTGCAATTAGGTATGAGTTTGGATAGGTTATTGGAAATCTGTTGCCCTTTACAGCCTTTACTTTGCAAAAGTATATATGATATGGAACTCTTTATTCTGATCTCAAACCCATTACTCAGGCATCTGTTATAAAGCTCATCATCAAAACCAACTTTTCTGAAATCATCAGTTTTTTGGTTCAACATTGGTCCTCTTACCATCTTCTCAAGGAAGACGCCTCTCTTTATTCATTCTATGAATAATCAGATGTTTTAATAATAAAATAATGAGCATCTCTCTTTAATTTACTCTTTTTCATTGTTAATAAAGCATACAAAAAGTGAATGGTGTTTTTTCCTGTAGGTTATCATATCTTGAGATCTACAATGAGTCTATGTTTGACCTGCTGTCCACATTGCCAGAGTCATTAGCTGGTAGCAACTATAACCCTATGACAGTTGTGGAGGATGAGAATGGGGTATATGTAAAAGGACTCTCTTGTCATCTGGCCCAGAATGAGGAGGAAGCATTGAACCTTCTGTTTGAGGTAAGAGTTAAAGGATACATTTAAATTAATAAAGGTATTCATAGGTAAGGGATTCCAGGATATGGTACACTTGTTGAATGGCATGAGCACACATGATAGAATTCGTAATTTGAGATTTGAATTTGTAAGATTTTTTTATAAATCTGAAAAAATATTTTCATTTTTCTATGGTTGGTACTTGATATAAAAGGGGTAGGGAATGCACTTGTAAAAATATTTGACAAAAACAATTTTCATTAGATTTTCTTCTAATGTACATTATCTGGTTCACTTTTATAGAGTTTTTTGTCTGTTTTACAGGGTGAGACTAACAGGGCAATTGCAGCACATTCTCTCAACAAACAGTCGTCAAGGTCTCATTGTATATTAACGGTCTACATAGAGTCACGGTCTCGAGTCCAATCAGAGGCAAAATACACAACTTCTAAACTGAACTTTGTAGATTTAGCAGGCTCTGAACGACTTGGTAAAACAAAGGTAGGGATTGAATTATTAGCATATAACTTAAAAACAATAAAATCTAAGTTTTAAAACTAAGCTTGCCAGGCCAGAAAAGATTGAGAGAAAAGGTTGATCCCTGATGCTCAGAGGCTAGTAGTTGGGGTAGACAATGTTTACAGCTAAAATCAAACTATTGAGAGGGCAATTAAATTGCTAATTTTCACAAGTGGAGACATATTGTTATAGTCTCCAACTTTTTTGTGGATGGCAGGCCCGTAGCCAGCTTTTGTCAAGGGGGTTCATTTTTCAAACAATTCTAAGTGGTTCACATTTGACAACTTTGATCCAAAATCATTTGAAAAATGCTTGGCATCTGTGACAAATAATGTCTGTAACAAATGGCAGGTGGTGACATTTTGCATGTTAATGCCTACTATGTTTTAAGTCTGAAATTTGTTTTCAGTCTGAAGGCAAGACGCAACAAGAAGCAATGTACATCAACAAATCTCTGACATTCCTCGAACAAACTATCATAGCATTAGCGGATAAACGTCGTGAGCATGTACCTTATAGGCAGACCAAACTGACACATTGCCTCAAGGACTCTATAGGGGGTAATTGTAAGACACTACTGGTTGCTAACATTTGGGGAGAATCTCAGCAGATAGAGGAAACAGTAAGTAATTTGTTATATAAAAACCTGTATGCTCAAACACTTCTTAATGTGAACATTTTCAGTTTCAATTCTTGTTATCTCCTATTAACTCACATGTTAGAATCTTGAAATGTGAAAACCTACTTATCCAATGTGTAGCGAGTCCACAATACTTTTTGATGCTAACTTTACTTCAAGCAAGGGTAACAACCATATAATACTGTAGTGGAGGCCATTATTTCTATTTACAGTTTATTGAATGGTTCGTGGTTCGATGCACCAGACTTTTTCTTTTAGCACTGTTGTTATTCTTTCAATCTTGAGCATTGTTTAGTGGTACTTGAAGTTATTGTGAAAAAGTAACAAAAATACATAAAAATGCATTATGGATACAGGTCAATTTTTATAGAATAATTATTTGCCTCCAGATCTCCACCTTAAGGTTTGCAACAAGAATGATGTGTGTTGCGAGTGAACCATGCATCAATGAGGACTACGACCCTACCATCATGGTGAAGAAACTAGAGCGAGAAATCAAAGCCCTTAAACATGAACTTGCCATGCATGACACTTTGGTAAGTTTTTGAATAGTTTTTATTAATTAATTTTCTTTGAATTTATAAAATATAAACTTTGCTGGTAAATTAGTGGGGAATATTTTAATATTAAATGACCAACAGCGCTTTTATTTTTGGTCATGGCAAATGATATTTGGATTATTTAACAATGTTTTAAAACTCTGCATGGAGCCTTTACATGAAGATACAGATCATAGTTTTCTTTGAAAAAAATACATTCAGTACATCCTTTGCGAAAAATCAGAAGTGTGTCAGAAATTCAGTTGTATATTTTTATAATCAATCATGTAAGACAATCAATGTAAGAACATTAAAGTAAAAGATTACAATGCTGTTATTTGTTATATTCATCCAGACAAACAGGAGTCAAATAAGCTATGACCCTCTATCAGAGCAACAGAAGTATGAGACGAGACAGCAAGTGAAGCGCTATCTAAGCAAATCTTTGGATGAGATTGATGTGAGTATGATCTTATCTCCTATGCACATATACAGGGTGTCCCATCATATTTTGTTTTACAGTATACAGGGTGTTCCATTAAGGAGTGACATATCTAATATTGATGTCTAATCAGCTTATTTTTTTAAAATTGTGAATGTCTTAAATAAAATGTTCTGTTGAAATATTCTTATATCTAGTGTCAGTAATAGTAGATGCTAGTTGAATATTATTTGTAATCGTTCAAGTTTATTAAATTATTGTAATATTTCAGATTGTGAATCTACGTCAGATACAGGGTGTGTTTGAGGCATTCAGGGACATTTGCAAGTAAGAAATGACTTTAAGTATTTAGATTAAATAATTCAAATGAATTAAAAATGAATCTTATATAGAGACTAGATATTTCAATATCTCCACTTTAAGGTTACATGCATATTATTTAGATTTTTTATAAAAGAATAATTGTCATAGTCAATCACTTTTTATCTCTTTTTGATTAAGTGTTTTGATCAAATTGATGACTTTGAAAATCAATCTTTCAGTGAGATGGAAAAAGACATTGAGAAGAAGCTAAAAGAAAAGTACACACTAATTGACAAAACAGACCCCGCCTCCATTGCGGCTGCTCAGAAGGCTGGTGTTCAAATAGCTGATGATGGCACATTCGTAGGAGATACTGATGGGAATGGATTTGGTGTAGGCATGGCCCCTAAGAGTGCAAAGGCTGACCAATCATCTGTGGTAAATGCCAAGAAGAGAGATGCCAAGAGAGGGAAGGGTAAAGCAGAGCGCACTGCACCTAGGTAGGCTGGATTGATTATCCTGGTATTACACTCCCCTCCACAAGTTTGGAAACCAGATATATCCAGTGGATAGCATTTTAAAGCCTGTTTTTATCCTGAGTTTGCTCCTCAATAGCAATAGATAAAAGGTTTATGACAAGGTAAAAATCAGTCATTATACATGAACAGAGTTTAAGACGTATGGTTCAAAAGGGGACTTCCAGTTGCCAAGGTTTTGGTGGGGTGTGTATGAATACTATTATAGAGGGTTAGCAGACAAAGGTTTTCTGATAAAGCTTCTTTAGAATGTTTTGTTTTGTTAAATATCTTTGTGCTGTTCGTGCTTGATGGGCCTTAAGGGAAATTCCAACATGACTGTATTCACGCCTTCTATAAACTGTGAACAAAGTCAATGTTTCACCCGGGTCATATTCGAGATCAATGCCCTGGCTCTGTACTAAGTTTTTCGTTCAGTGCAAAAGCTCAACCGGAAGTAGAAATGAAAAAAGTGGAAATGAACATCGAAATTGACGATTTTGCAATATTCTGGTGAGTTTCCATGTTCGAATCGTAATATAGACCTCAGAGCAGGGCTACTATTTTTGATTACACCCCTTAGGGCTAGGCACAAAAACTTACAGAAAACGTTTGTGCCAAGCCCTTTGGGATGTATTCGAAAATAGTAGCCCAGCTCTTCGGTCTATATTTCTTAATTATATTGTTGGCATAGAAACATTTGTTCAGCAAACAAATTTGGTTAAACAACTGGAGAAAATCACTTGTTGCTAATTGCCAATGAAACCCCTGCAAGTACTATACTAGTAACCCCTGGCAATCTAAGATTATACATTTGAAAATTATTTAATATGTCGATAATTTGAGTTGAATGTTTTGTATTGCAGTCCTATAGCAGGCAAGGGTGGACAAGCAGCAGCCTCTCAACAGAGTACCAGAGACAAGGACACAGCAACTCCTCACACCCCCTCAGCTGATAAGAAACGAGGAGAACAAGAGGGGGAGGAACCACCATCTAGTGCTCCTAGCTCCGCAGGTCAACGAACCCAGCCCCCACCACAGCAACGCCCTAGTACACCACCCCTCAGGACTGTTGCATTTGAAGAGTTTAAAAATGAGCGCGGAAGTGAAATTAATAGAATTCTTAATGAAAATAAGGATATTTTGGTTAACAAGAAGAAAGCTTATGCTGAAAGAGCCAGAGCTATTAACTCAGTAAAAGTTGATATTGACAAAACTAGAGTGAAGCTAGAGGATTTGAAAATGGATAGAGAATCACAAGGTAAGTTTGAAAGAGTCAGAAAAATTACTTTTAGAGCATGCAGTTCCATTTTTTCTGTAGAAATGCATATGCAAGTGTACCTCCTTAGTCATTAATAACTGACAGGCAGATTTTAAATGGGTTATGTTTAAAATTTTAATGCAGTCTCTAAGATTACTGAATGTGGATATCCTTTTTTTTAATTTTCTAGATATTTTATATTTCTGCTTCCAGGTGGTCTATACAATGATGAAGGAGAGGCAATAATAACAGAGGAAGAATTTTTAGAAATCAAAAAACTCAAAGAACTCAAACATTCCTATAAAGTAGACTTTGAAGAATTGAAATCTCTAAAATCTGAAGTTCAATATTGTCAAAAATTAGTCGACCAATGTCGTCAACGACTGATCACAGAGTTTGACGCATGGTATGCAGAGAGTTTCCTAACCCCTGGTGATGACCTACAAACTAGTCAGCAAGCTGGAGTGGGAATGAGGGCGGGAGTCGTGCCACCATATGACCCTAACGGAATGGTAAGTTAGAAGTAAATCATTTTTTGGTTTAGAAAGAAATTAGATTTCATATTCCCATCATGTTGTGTGCATCAGATTGATGTTCTTCAGATCTGTATAAGTCTAAAATCAATAAAAAAATTCAAACCATGAGCATTTGCCTGATGAAAAGATTGCAGTGGTCCATTTATTCATTAATTTATCATAGAACATAAGAGAAATTAACAAGTAATAAATGAAAAATCAGTGACTTAAAGTGAGTATGCCTTTTTTTCAAAGAAGCACCATAATATTACTTTTTTTAATCATGTATTCAAGAGAAACAAATTATTTTCTTCCCTTTTTATATCTGAATTATTTATTAAGTATGAATTAAATTTGATTTACAAAACTTCTGGATGCATAACAAGGCATTTGATGAAGTTGGATACATGTGTGACACTATGAATTATTAACAATCTAATGGTATCTTATTTCAGCCTGAAGATGAACAAGAAAAGTTTGATCGCCTCCAGACAGAACTTTTGATGGAGAATCCTGACTCGGCAGCTTATTACAATGCCAGGATGAGAACAGAAAGACGGGTATGACATAGCAATATATTTTTCACTCAAAATAAGGATTTCAAGAGAGCCAAATAGCTACTTTTAAATATATACACAATAATTATTGTATGATCTGTAAAATGAAGCCCTCTGATTGGTCAGTTCTGTATTGGCACTCGACTTTGTCTCTTTCCGATACAGAATTTCTCGAACAGAATATATCCTGTATTGCACTTCAAATCATTCAATAACTTCTATCATGGGATATTTTTTCTGAATGGATAATTGTATACAATAAGCTTCTTTGGGGGTTTCAAGGCCTTTGTATAATGATACTATAATATCCAACAAGACAATGATATTATGATGTACTTTCTTGTTTGAACATGCCTGATAGTTAGATCTCATTGGAAATAAATTGCAAAAGATAATAAATGTTATGTAATGAACTTTTATTAATATTTTTCAGAAAACTTACGAGTTTGCCATGAGCCAGCCTCAACCTGGTATGACAGCCCGTAAACCAGGGACCCCGACCCGTAAAATTCGCAACCAAGCACCAACAATGTTAGAAGTTGTGCCATAAATTCTCTACTATAGTCGAGCTTGAGTTTCGAGTACAATGGACAGTTGGATTTATAAACCAGTCTCAAACTGTTTTTGTCTGGTCATATTATATTAATTTGTCAAAATAGACCGTGGGAGATGATCCTGACATTATAGCTATTTGATTATATTTTTAACTTCAAGAGTTTGCCAAAATGCAGGATTACTTTCTTCATATGCATTTTTTATGAAACTAAAAAATTGAATTGATTATATTCTAAACATCTCCTGTATTATAGCTGTGGGTGAATGGGAATCAGAGTATATGCCAATGTGCAGTTTTCTAATAAACTATGTAAAATTAAAAGGTAAGAAAATTCAGGATGAAATCCTCGAAAATTGTAAATATTGTACATATAATGTGCCCTCCTTATATTAATTATGTATATATTGTATGTAAATGTACAGATGTATCAATAAAAATTATTTAGTTTCATTAACTTCAAATTAAAGTTGTGTGGAATACTGCCTAATGTATTACAGTACATTTTTTGTACAGCCCCAGAATGGACAAAACACAGAATATTTCTAATGAGTTATTTTATTACATTTAAAATACATCACTGATGGTACAATTGCTATAGATTTTCCATAAGCTAAATGATATTGTACAATTCTTAAAACAAATGACACAATTGCCTTTTAGTTCAGTGTAAATGACATCTGGGTTAAGACGTACATTAGACTTGCAATATTATACAATGTATTGACAAAAATATATGACATCCTAGGACAGAGAAATGCATTCTCCAAATGCAAGCCTCCAGACATCATCCCCCCTCGAAGGAACAGAGAGGGTGATGTCTTTAGCCATGCATTTGGAGGGTGGAGAAATAAGGATACCGTAGTTGCTTGTAACTTATGTACTTCATTTGGCAAAACTTATAAGTATCTAAAATTGCTAAAACAAAATGATAAATGTTTCTATCCCGATGACACCATTTCAATTTGTTTATTTACGTACCATTTCAAGGGAATACATGTACAGAAGGAATATACTCAATCATTTATGAGTGATATACCCATGGCTGACTGGATTTAATTGAATTGGATTTTAACATACAATATTATAACAATACAGTGCGAGACACAATGAACAAATAAAACTGATACAGTATATTGAATACATGTTATTTACACCCTGAAATAGTGGTTCGTCCCAATTGGTGAGACTGATCTATGTAGGTCTGAATCATATTGGAAATCCCTTTAGTTTTAAAAAACCAAGTGACTGAAATTCCACTCAGTATTCTTAATTGCCTCGGAAAGTTCAGCAATCAGTTAGACAGAAAAGTCCAGATTGCACTGGCTTACTATATTTGTAGCATTTAACTTCGGGATCCCAATATGAAAGATAAGGCCTATGTCAATGTACACGTGAATAAGATGTCATGCTTGTGTAACTATTAAAACCAATTATTTAAATCACCATCTTTATTTCCCTAATCAAATACTGGCATTTTGGCTTCAATTTAAAATCTAATTGTCTGTATTTTTAATTCTACAGCATTGGAAGCCATTTAACCATTATGAGCAAACCATTCACACAATGAAAAAAAATAAGCAAAACCTTAAATTTGTATTTTGAATTCCAATATATCATTAGTCTTGCATCACGCCCCTGTCCCCCCAATTCTAATTCTACCACAGTTGGGTTTGGAAATTGAAGGTGACCAGATAGTCCTGCTTAAAAACCCTGTACTCCCCCCCCTTTATCCTTCTCTCTCTGTATATTGCCAGGTAAAGAGAGTGAAAGTGACGGGGGGGGGGTGGATACAGTCTTTGAGCAAGACTAGTGACCAGACTTGAGGCAAGACTATAATTCTTTGTTGAATGAGTATTTTTACATAATGTGTTGGGAAACAGTGGAAATGACCACTAAATGTTTCTTTTAGTTTCTACTATTCAAAACCTATCATAAGGGAACATTATACTTTTACAGCAGAACTTTAAACCATTCAATTAATGCAAGTTTCAATTAAACTGATTCATCAGATACAAGTGAAACATTTATAACTTACACATTTGAGAAACCATCTGAATCTTCCATTTAAATATATTTTTAAAACGTAAATTGAAATGCTTCCCTTTAAGTCTGCGTATTCATTTATTTGCAAACATACAGTACATCCGCAAAAAGAGCAGCCAAAAAGTGACAATTATCTCTGGTAAAAGAGCACTTTCTTCTAATTTAGAATTCAATTTCACCCAATTATATTTATACACCTTATGCAGACTGACACTTTCTCCTCATAATGATATAATTTCTTCATTATAATATACACTCCCCATAAAAGGTTTGGCAAACCCGACTAGTTAGATAGCTTCTTAAAATCTGTATGTTTAAATATTTTCATCAGGCATTAACAGATGTGGTTCAAAAGGGAAGTTTTAGTTCCCAAGCTTTTGGTGGGGGGTGTAGCCAAGAATGAGAAGGATGTAATGCTACTTGATACAGATCTCTTTACTATAGTGACTAGCACGAGACATGGAACATAAATGCAAAAATAATACATACACGTTCACTTTTGTTCTCAAGAGCATGCAAAATGTGTGTGCATTTGTACAGCTTTCTAAAAGTTCACAAAATATTGATGCAATACTAAATTTTGAAACTTAAGAGACATTATCAATGATACCCCTTGGTGATAACTATTATATCAATACAATATTATCTTATCCCACTACATATTGTATATGAAAATATTATCTGGTAAGAAAGGTACATTGTATTGTAGCCTGAACCACGATTTCTGAATTTCTGTAAATGTGAATCATTTTATTTTATTTTCAAAACTGGTTTTCCATTCTGATATTCTTGCTTCACTACAATGTTAAAATCGTCACATTTTCTAAATGATATATCCAGTTTCCAAACATTCACTCTCTGGGCAACTTGATTGAAACACTGTCAGGGAGTACACTGTACACTGTCAATTGTAGTATATAAATATAGTTGCCCCTGGGAAATCAGTATGGTGATCATATTCTAGTATGGCATTTCTAGTTCATTGTATGGCATCTCTGTATGACCATATGGCATCTCTGTATGACCATATGGCATCCCAATATGATTGCGTGGCATCTTTATTCAGTTAATGAGATTCCATACAATTATATTTGGCAGGAGGCTTAAGTACAGTAAGACCTGTCTTTGTGAACACTTTAGACTAATTCTATCATGTGAACATCTTGAAATATTAATACTTTTCTGGCTATGACTCATAGGTTACTGAAACCACAAAACACTTTCAGCTGATCGAAAAAGTGTTCACTTCAGACAGGTTTTACTGTATATGCCTGAATGCAGGTATACTTGTTTATAATCCTTCCTGATTTCCATCTTTGCCACTCAACTCCATGTTATTTTTCAAAACATGGCCACCATTTAACAATTTCCCCATATGGAGGCTATGAATGTTGATAATGTCCTAGTGTATGGTTGTATCACCTCTTGAGCTGATTGGCAATCCATTCTAATCCAAGATATAGCCTGAAACACAGAATAAACAAATTATTAGAGATTATAAATTGAAACAGGAGGACTCTTTGAATAGAACAAGACACAGTGATAGATATCGCACATTAAAGAGCAAAATGGCTGCCATGTAAATTACCTAATCTGCCTAAAACCTCACTCTTCTGCTCTTTCATCTGTAAAAAAATTCAAGTTGAATGGAAAAGCAGTTTTTCATGACAAGATAATTTATGTGGTGCCTGACTGCCCATCTAGATACATGTTCACCCATCAGTGCATTGAACATGACAATAAATATAAATGTGAAGTACTTGATTTGCTTTTCATAATCTACATGTATAAGAAAATGTGTTAAATATGGCAAAAACAACTTGGCAATATAATTACATCTCTATGCTGGCAATGAGAGACAAAGACAAGTATTATGCAAAATTGACTAATCCCAAGTCTATGTGTTACCTATGTGATCCTTTACCCTCAATGACCTTAATCTGATTGGATAAAGCTAGATCCAAGGATTATTTCTCATTGAAAGAGTATAGATGAAGTCACAAAATCAAACTCAAAATTTTTGAAAGCTTAGGGAAATATTGGAGGGGAGCAGTCATCTCCTGGGAGACGAAATCTTTCAGCAAGAACGAAGAACTAATTAAACAAAGACCAACAGATATAGGAAAAAGATCGGGTATAATTGAATGTCATCCATACAAGTTTAATCATACATACAAAATCAATGATTCCTTTTGTTATGTAATCTAATAAGGAAACATCTATCACAATGCAAAAGCTCTTTGGGCGGTGAATCTGTATTAGCTTACATCACATTATAAATAAATGCGCTAAAAAGATATATTGGCAAGATCTGGGATGAACTGAGTATAAACCATCCTTCATGTTATGCAATTTCACCTCACTTTCCAATAGATGTACATGTAGTTTGATTTTGCTCGTATGACTATATCTAGTACAAGGCATCAACATGCGAAATGTCACCACCTGTCATTTGTTACAGAAGCTGACCATTGACTCCAGAACACCAACCACCAAATGCTGAATACCATTCACAAAAAAAGTTGGATCTATAACAATATGTCACCAATTTTTTGGGTGGTGACATAATAATCCCTTCATAAGTAGCTGGCATTTAATTCAAATTCAAACTCCCAATAAAAGCCAGGACAGCTACCTATGAGGTCTTTAACTAAAGATCCTATCAGAATCAAAAAAAAATTATATTGTATATTGTGATATTGAAATAGTAGTGATTTCTCTTAGTTTCTTGACATCCCTCAGGGTACCGCTTCACAAATATCTGACAAGTCTTGCGGCTGCTTGATTTTGAATTTTGTAATCAGGACATGACTCCATTTATGGCAGAATATCGAGTTGAAACCTTGAGAGCCAATCTTCCTTGAAGAATTGCCCTATTCAGAGCTTAGTGATTTCTATTAACTTCTTGGCATCCCTCTGGGTAAAGCTTCACAAATAGCTGGTGATAATTGGTGGATCCAAACAATGGAGTGAGAAGGAGAAGTTGATAATTGCAAGCAATAACATACACTTTATCTTACTCTACTGGGAATGTATCACGCAAGAATAAATCAAACCAAACCAAGTCACAATAATAGCTTAAGGACAACAGGAAATTGAAAACAATAGAACACGTCGTTCAATTTGGAAACCTGCGCCCATGCCCTAAAAGCCAGAGGCTAGTCATAATTACTTTCTTGATATGTGTTTGAAGATGAAGCTCATTTCCAAATATTATTCTTGAAAATGAAAAGGGTACTCAGTAAGCTTAACTTTCAATTTTACATGTTTTGGATAAAATATTTCAAATTTGAATCATTTTGACAGAATACAAACTTTTAAGAGGTTTTGGTGTAATTTTTGCAGCAGGCAAAAGCACAGAGTTCCTCTAATGCTGGGAAGATCACTGGTACTAAAGGAAAAGCAGTATTCATGGAATAAATTAATAATATGATACACTAGGGATGACGCATTGCGTTATTAGCCTTGAAAACTATGAGGATGTAAACGGAAATATTTCAGTTAAAGACAAATTGACACAAAAACATGATTTTATTCAATACAACTAAGGAAGATCTTATGCTTCATCTCTATAATTACTACTAACAAATGAGGAAAATGATATACAGTATGTCACCTAAATTGATATTAACCCTAACATGCTAAGATGTGATAATTTTAGAAACAGTATACAAGAAAGAAACACTAATAGAATATTAAGTGCCATAGAGTCTATAAGATGACTATTTATATGTTACAGATGTCACTGTTCACTGTCACTGAATTTTTAAGTTTTGTAACAACGTACTTTGCTTCATTAACACATTAACTTCATTTAAAAGAACTAGAAAACTTCAGATAACCCTTCCAACAATTGTGATCTTCATACCCAGTCCTCTTTCCTAGCAAAATTAAGTGAATATCTATGAATAATTGAGAAATTATAAGTAATACACAAACATTGATATCATGCTGTGGGAAGTTTTAGATATAGGACATATCATGAGCTAAATATATAATATCTACCTGAGGGATCACAAAATCTTCTCTGGTAGGATAAATGTAATCTCATTTCCTTCTCAGGAAAATAAATAATTTATATACCTGACAGTGTTTTCCCACTGAAACTTATGTATAGAATTCAATGCATTGCACCCTTTCTACATCTTGAAAATCATTACATAAAGAGGGACTGTGAAATCAGAATGGAATTTTATCATTCCATAGTAACCGTGATATTCATAGGATATCATGTACAGTACATTACTTTTTTCAGTGCATTTAACAATGCAAAAATATTTTGGCAATTTATAACTAAACAATTGAAAACACCTTTTAAACCATGAGACACAGAGCTTTGTACACTTGTGCAGATACCATTATCAATTTGTGTATAAAATCATAATGCTAATAAATCATAGGATATCCTCTATTTATATTTCACGCTTCTGGGCACATGTTCATACAAAATACTTACCCTTCCCCAGTTAAACCACAGCAGGCCTGTATATGATGACCGTGGTCTTTTATTGATGTTAAATTCAACTGCTGTGAGATTTCAGCGGGAGACATACAACCTTTAATGTCTTGCTTGTTGGCAAATATCAGCACAGCTGCTTTCCTTAGCTCCTGAAACAACAAACAATATCAGCATTAACCTTGAATAATATCTGCTGATGTCACTTAGGGTGCAATTTTTTAGTGCATTTAAGTGGCACGTTAGATATGACATTTTATTATTGAAATACATGTAGTATGTCATTCTTTTCAATCTTTGAAATGGTGTTAAAAGATGATGTGTTTTGCACTGTTTAGTAGAAATTTGACAATTATAAAATGTCAAATTTTATTTGAAAAATGGCGGGAAATTAGATTAATTTGAGAAATAAAAAGCTGACAACTTTTTCCCCAACAAAATATATTTTCAAACATCTCTTATAATCACTTGATGAGTCATGAAAAACAGTAAAAACACATATCAAACTTTAGATAGGGTCTTTAATAAATTATTCATTCAGGTGTGCAATGTCACCTTATTACAATTAGGGGATGATCAACTATATTTTCGGATCAAGTTCATTTATCATCTTTAGTCATTTGGTTTTCTTTGGGGGTAATGAGACCCCGGGAATGAGACCAGTGCATGTGAAGATGAAATATGGATGGTTTTCTAGAAATTACTGGCATAATACAGATTTGACAATTTATCTTAAAACATATTAGATCTAAAGGTATATACATTGTACTGTCGTTATCGACAATGGAATCTCACTGTCGTTCAGTACATGTTTTTATATATGTACCAATTTTATATTGGAACGGTTATCTTATTTTTTGTCAAGCCAATATCATAATCATGTCAGAACAACAGCTCATTTTGCATTAGCACCTTACATTGTGAGTTATACAGGGTGACTCAAAAATGCGGCCTTCTAAAGCTGGGTTAATTATTTTAATTTTGGTTGAATTTTTGTTAAAATGGACCAATCATTTTGATGGAACAAACAGTGGTGTACTTCATGAACACCCTATCTACATAAATCCCCCAAATTAAGAGTTATTCTAAATTTAATGGGGTGTATTCATTTTGGGTCACCCTGTTCTTGGCATTATTGCAAGCTTTTTGAGTATATACAATGTACTTATTAAATACCATATCAGAAAGCTTAATATTACAACTATATAATAGAGATTGCATGTCACAAATTAAGTCTTGTCACATTGGTATTATATTAATTACAAACAGTTCTCCACAGAATAACAAGAATTATGAATCAGCTTGTTTAAAATGGTTGCCATTTTAAAATCAACAGCCATCTTCAGTTTTTTTCTTGAGTAATTATTTGAGGATTACATTTTTTAAGAAAAAACAGTGGCAGCTTTGAATTGAATGGCCATATTGGAAATTCAAAATCTCAAACAGAGATCCTATATATGCTCGTAAGGCATAAGCCTTTGAACAAAATTGATCAGCCTGTATCTCAGTTATCACCTGGATAGATGAATTGATTGCTGTTTATCCCATGGCCCATGAGCGTACTTACCTCATTAGATAACATTCTGTACAACTCTTCCCTAGTTATCATTAATCTCTCCCTGTCTGTGCTATCTATCACTAGAATGATGAACTGAAATACAATTATATGAATTATGTTAGTTATAAATTTTTTCTTCATCATTCTCCTCATGCATATGTTGAATATCATATCAAAAATGGAATAAGAGGAAAATAAAGATATCTTCCCTTAGTCAGAACATCCTCTTTGTTTATTTCTACTTTCTCATAATAATGGATTTATCCAATGATTACATTTTAAAGTCCCCCTGGAGCTTAAAATTTAACATTATAATCTACGATGATACATTCAAGACTCAGTAGCTGTTAGAACCCTTAAACGATATTGATTACAACATATGAAGTTCTTTAAATCATAATATTGCATTATAATTACATATTGATAAAAGAACATATGTTACCAGTTTATGTAAGTGTTACCTCGATTTTAAGGTCAATCACTGAACTTTAATTGAGAATGAGAGCATTATGCATTTTGTATGCGGTATATAGGTAAATGTCTACCAGTAATCTTGATGAAAAACGATGACATTCTAAACTCAAAATGTTGGCCAGTATTGGCAGAACTCAGACACCTAGCATGTCATTGTAGCCTAACTTCAACACCCCCCCCCCCCTAGTTCAACGAAAGGCTTTTGTTGAGGTAGATAAGGGGAGGTTCCAGGGTCCTGAAGCAAGACTAACATCATAATAACAAAATATCTCAAGACTAAAATTGTCCCATCCCTGGCCCTGCTATGAAAAAAGCGAACGACCGATCTTGAAGGATGACATTGTCCTTAACTAAAGGTATCGTGTCCTTGACAGGTTCGCTCAATATTGCATAATAGATTGTAGCGCATCTGTCAATTAATATAGCTTATGTGACAGAGTGAATATGTGTAAAACATAATCATCTTTTTCTGATTCACATGGTTTGTATCGTGAGCGATGACAACCTTGTATCAGTACCGTTCCAGCATTCTTTGCAAGGCAAAGATGGTCTGAGTATCAGAACAACATATTTTGAATCTTGAGTGCTTTATGACTTCAAGACTTAACCTCTTGAATCCCAAGCTCCAAAATTGGTATGAAACAAGAGAATTTTTCATATTGTCAGCTTTTGACATTTAACTACCTGATACACATATAACAGAGGCATCTCAATTTAGTGAAATTAGTTGGTGAGATCATTTCTATACATTTTTTTTGTGTAAACTAGATGAAAAATTTTCAAATTCGAGCAATTTTAGTAGAAAATTTGGTGATGGATTACCTTGTAACTAGGTTTCAGGGTTGTTTCTTATGGTGATGAAAAAAATCTTGTCACTCTGGGTAATCAAGAGGCTTAATTAATAGACAAACATACCTCAGCATTTGTATAATATGTATTCCAAGATGAGCGAAGTGACTCCTGGCCACCTATGTCCCACATGAGGAAATGGATATTTTTCCAGACTACCTCTTCTACATTGCTTCCTATGGTGGGGGACGTATGTACAACCTCATTCATTAAACTGAAAACAAAGGACAGTGGAAGTGAATTTTTTCAACTACATTCAGTAAAACCTGTATAAGTAAAACACATTTGGTACCTCTAAAAAATGTTCCACTTATTGGGGAATTCATTTAACCTTAAGTAAGTTGGTCTTGGGACTCTAAAAAGTGTTCTACTAACAGGGGTGTTTCACTTCTAGTGGTGTTTCCCTTTACAGGTTTCAAAGAATATTTCATTTTGTAATCTTTAACCAATGGTTAGGTAAGCTAAGGTTAGGTAGATATAGACATACTACAATATAATTCTAGCATGGCTTTTTTAAATAAATGTACAATACAGTACAAATAAAAATAAAAGTACATGTATGCACATGTATTTATAAAAATACACTGAATCAATAATATGTGAATGTCACAAGGACGATGCAATGCTCAACAGAGACCATATTCTTAAGCAATGACTATATTATATGTATTCATTCATTATATAACATTGTGAAAAGTACACCTGATGACAGATGCCATCCTCAGTGATACTGATAAGTAAGAACAAGGCATGAATCTGTAAAATGTTACCACCTGCCATTTGTTACAGAGGCCAAACTCTGAACACTAACTGTTGATCTCCAAACATCACCCAGAAAAACGTTGGAGACCAAGAATGGTATGGGATAAACAGATCATCCTATAGTTGGTTCAGGATATTGGGATTATCCCTTGGCCAATACAAGGCATTAACATGACAAAATGTCACCACCTAGCTGCTCACAATATTATGAGTTCAAACTTAGGTCAGATTTGAATTTCTGAGAACTTGTAAAGTCAAATTTGAACTTCTGAAAAGATGTAGATGATTTTGAAAAAAAATTTGGTCAATTTGAAGCAAGTTGAAAACAGACCTTTTTGAACTTTTTTGACCTTGAGAAGGTCATTAAAGGTCAAATGTCAAATCTAAAGTCAGATTTGAATTTCTGAGAACATGTAGATGATTTTGAAAAAAAAATTAGTCAATTTGAAGCAAGTTGAAAAAAGACCTTTTTGACCTTTTTTGACCTTGAGAAGGTCATTGAAGGTCAAATGTCAAATCTAAAGTCATATTTGAATTTCAAAGAACATGTAAATGATTTTGAAAAAAAATTTAGTCAATTTGAAGCAAGATGAAAAAATACCTTTTTGACTTTTTTGACATTGAGAAGGTCATTGAAGGTCAAATGTCAAATCTAAAGTCAGATTTGAATTTCTGAGAACCATAGATGATTTTGAAAATTTTTTTTAGTCAATTTGAAGCAAGTTGAAAACAGACCTTTTTGACCTTGAGAAGGTCATTAAAGGTCAAATGTCAAATCTAAAGTCAGATTTGAATTTCTGAGAACATGTAGATGATTTTGAAAAAAAAAATAGTCAATTTGAAGCAAGTTGAAAAAAGACCTTTTTGACCTTTTTTGACCTTGAGAAGGTCGTTGAAGGTCAAATGTCAAATCTAAAGTCATATTTGAATTTCTGAGAACATGTAGATGATTTTGAAAAAAAATTTAGTCAATTTGAAGCAAGATGAAAAAAAATACCTTTTTGACCTTTTTTGACATTGAGAAGGTCATTGAAGGTCAAATGTCAAATCTAAAGTCAGATTTGAATTTCTGAGAACATGTAGATGATTTTGAAAAAAAATTTTAATCAATTTGAAGCAAGTTGAAAAAAGACCTTTTTGACCTTTTTTGACTTTGAGAAGGTCATTGAAGGTCAAATGTCAAATCTTAAGTCAAATCTAAAGTCAGATTTGAATTTCTGAGAACATGTAGATGATTTTGAAAAAAATTTTTAGTCAATTTGAAGCAAGTTGAAAACAGACCTTTTTGACCTTTTTTGACCTTGAGAAGGTCATTGAAGGTCAAATGTCAAATCTTAAGTCAAATCTTAAGTCAGATTTGAATTTCTGAGAACACGTAGATGATTTTGAAAAAAAAATTTAGTCAATTTGAAGCAAGTTGAAAACAGACCTTTTTGACCTTTTTTGACCTTGAGAAGGTCATTGAAGGTCAAATGTCAAATCTAAAGTCAGATTTGAATTTCTGAGAACATGTTGATGATTTTGAAAAAAAAATTTAGTCAATTTGAAGCAAGTTGAAAAAAGACCTTTTTGACCTTTTTTGACTTTGAGAAGGTCATTGAAGGTCAAATGTCAAATCTTAAGTCAAATCTAAAGTCAGATTTGAATTTCTGAGAAAACGTAGATGATTTTGAAAAAAATTTTTAGTCAATTTGAAACAAGTTGAAAACAGACCTTTTTGACCTTTTTTGACCTTGAGAAGGTCATTGAAGGTCAAATGTCAAATCTTAAGTCAAATCTTAAGTCAGATTTGAATTTCTGAGAACACGTAGATGATTTTGAAAAAAAAATTTAGTCAATTTGAAGCAAGTTGAAAACAGACCTTTTTGACCTTTTTTGACTTTGAGAAGGTCATTGAAGGTCAAATGTCAAATCTAAAGTCAGATTTGAAGGTCAAATGTCAAATCTAAAGTCAGATTTGAATTTCTGAGAACATGTAGATGATTTTGAAAAAAAATTTAGTCAATGTGAAGCAAGTTGAAAAAAGACCTTTTTGACCTTGAGAAGGTCATTGAAGGTCAAATGTCAAACCTAAAGTCAGATTTGAACTTCTGAGAACATGTGGTATGACTCCACCATTCTTTTGCCGTTTTACTACATGCCACAATCAACCTCACTGTCAGCATATCAAACCATGCCCATTTTTCATCAAACTTGGCCCAACTACTATCAGGTGGATGTCCTTCAAAAATCAAGTTGGCATGGTTACCAAAGCCTTATAGTTGCCATGGCAACCGTAGAAATGGGGTAAAAAATTAGAGCAAAAAACACCCAAACCCACCATATTGGCACTAATTTATAAAATATTTCTAGACATACAAATTTTCTTAAACTTTGATATCATCTAGGACACTTCTAGACAACGAAAATATCAAAAATTGGGGGTAGGTTTACCACTTCGATTTTTTTCTAGGCTTGGTCAAAGTAAAACTACGAAAAATGCACTCATTTTCACTTTTGAAACACCTATTACCGCCCAAATGGCTATATTTTTTCAAGGTCAAGGTCGCCATGTTAAAAGTAGAATTACGGAGATAAATCTGCTCTTCAGACAATGTTTGATGGCTTTTCTTCACCACGGAACAAAGATCTTTGCGCTGGTATGCCCATTTCCATGAGATAATATACGTGAAAGAGGAACTATGTCTTTAAATGTCATCAAAACTTTATGCCAACACGTGAAAAGGCCATTTCACACTACTTTTGGTGTAATAATTCCATAATGGAGACAAGTTTTCTTATGCAGCACTAGTGTAACTGTTTTTAGGTAATTGAGACATTTCTGATAAAATTGGTATCCAGAAACATGATATTTTGAATAAAACGGGGCCAAAAAACGACCCCTGAAGATGCCTGCATTATTTGAGATTTTGGTGTTTTTCACTGGCCTGAAAAATGGATGGGGTAGGGGAGTGACACACCTTTTGGGCTTATTCAAGTTAGCATTTTAATCAAATGAATGGCCACATGTTTGGTACCATCTTAAAGCTTGTCACGTCCTCTTCAATTTGGTACCCATATCATGAGGTCAGACGCTATATTGTGACGTCACGATGGTACCAAACGATTATAAATTGAAAATTAAGCATCAAAATGCGGCAAAATAATGGTATGACTCCACCATTCTTTTGCCGTTTTACTACATGCCACAATCAACCTCACTGTCAGCATATCAAACCATGCCCATTTTTCATCAAACTTGGCCCAACTACTATCAGGTGGATGTCCTTCAAAAATCAAGTTGGCATGGTTACCAAAGCCTTATAGTTGCCATGGCAACCGTAGAAATGGGGTAAAAAATTAGAGCAAAAAACACCCAAACCCACCATATTGGCACTAATTTATAAAATATTTCTAGACATACAAATTTTCTTAAACTTTGATATCATCTAGGACACTTCTAGACAACGAAAATATCAAAAATTGGGGGTAGGTTTACCACTTCGATTTTTTTCTAGGCTTGGTCAAAGTAAAACTACGAAAAATGCACTCATTTTCACTTTTGAAACACCTATTACCGCCCAAATGGCTATATTTTTTCAAGGTCAAGGTCGCCATGTTAAAAGTAGAATTACGGAGATAAATCTGCTCTTCAGACAATGTTTGATGGCTTTTCTTCACCACGGAACAAAGATCTTTGCGCTGGTATGCCCATTTCCATGAGATAATATACGTGAAAGAGGAACTATGTCTTTAAATGTCATCAAAACTTTATGCCAACACGTGAAAAGGCCATTTCACACTACTTTTGGTGTAATAATTCCATAATGGAGACAAGTTTTCTTATGCAGCACTAGTGTAACTGTTTTTAGGTAATTGAGACATTTCTGATAAAATTGGTATCCAGAAACATGATATTTTGAATAAAACGGGGCCAAAAAACGACCCCTGAAGATGCCTGCATTATTTGAGATTTTGGTGTTTTTCACTGGCCTGAAAAATGGATGGGGTAGGGGAGTGACACACCTTTTGGGCTTATTCAAGTTAGCATTTTAATCAAATGAATGGCCACATGTTTGGTACCATCTTAAAGCTTGTCACGTCCTCTTCAATTTGGTACCCATATCATGAGGTCAGACGCTATATTGTGACGTCACGATGGTACCAAACGATTATAAATTGAAAATTAAGCATCAAAATGCGGCAAAATAATGGTATGACTCCACCATTCTTTTGCCGTTTTACTACATGCCACAATCAACCTCACTGTCAGCATATCAAACCATGCCCATTTTTCATCAAACTTGGCCCAACTACTATCAGGTGGATGTCCTTCAAAAATCAAGTTGGCATGGTTACCAAAGCCTTATAGTTGCCATGGCAACCGTAGAAATGGGGTAAAAAATTAGAGCAAAAAACACCCAAACCCACCATATTGGCACTAATTTATAAAATATTTCTAGACATACAAAT